TAAATATTTGAATTAAATGAGTAATGAACAGAAAAAGATACTAAAACATATTTTAAATGAACAGAGAAGAACCTCAATTAATAACATTATTTAAGCCAGGTTAACTTTGGCTCAATCTCAATTCTACTATTTTACCCCTTTAACCCCTTCCCCTTGGCCCTTTAGAGTGTGAAGGAAAAGGATTTCAAATCTTCCCCCAAAGAAATGGGAGCCCACTTCAGCACCTGCACACGTCATATGTCATTGCGAAATCTTGCTTCAAATGAGATCAGACAATTACGACTGCCAAGACAATATGTTTTGCTTGTTTAGAAAATTCTTCTTGATTTAGGAATTTTAAGATATTTGGACTAGAAACAGGACAAAAAATCTAAGTAAGAAAAGCATTTTTTGCAGTGTAGAGTATTTAGAAAACAAGCTCTATTAGAAATATTGATGCACATCAGTTTAATCTGAAATGGCTTAACAGAGTCAAATCAAATGAATATGTTTGGTCACTAAACAAACAATTTAAGCCGAGTCTTGGATTATGTTTGCAAATTTATTTTTGCATTAATGTAAACATCTTTAAGTTTGTATTGCACTTTTTACAGTGATTATTGTTCCATAGCAGCTTTGCAAAAGCTGTTTCATAAAATGTTTGTAGTACAGGTCAAACTAAATGCTATTTAATAATGCTTTTAAACCAATTAATCACAACTAATCGCAAACAAAATACAAGTTTGCGTTAACGTAATTTTGGGTGTATGTAGTACATAATATAGAGTAATATGTGAATACAGTTGAAGTCAGAATTATTAGCCCCCCTTTGATTTTTTTCTTTTTCTTTGTTAAATATTTCCCAAATGATGTTTAACAGAGCAAGGAAATGTTCACAGCATGTCTGATAATATTTATTCTTCTGGAGAAAGTTTAATTTGTTTTATTTCGGCTAGAATAAAAGCAGTTTAAACATTTTTATGAAACATTTTAAGGTCAATATTATTAGCCCCTTCAAGCAATATATTTCCAACTGTCTACAGAACAAACCCTGACTATACAATAACTTGCCTAATTACCCTAACCTGCCTAGTTACCCTAATTAACCTAGTTAAGCCTTTAAATGTCACTTTAAGCTGTATAGAAGTGTCTTGAAGAATATCTAGTCAAATATTATTCACTGTCATTATGGCAAAGATAAAATGAATCAGTTATTTGAGATTAGTTAATAAAACTATTATGATTAGAAATGCTTTATACAGAAAGGGCTCTATTTTGATGGTCCATGCGCAGAGCGCAAACGCAGGGCGCAAACGCTTTCAGGGCGTGTCAGAACGCATTTTTGCTAACTTAAGGACGGGAAAATCCGCTTTGCGCCGTGGCGCATGGTCTAAAAGGGTTGAGTTTATTTTCTTAATGAGTTATAGGTGTGTTTTGAGAATAAACCAATCAGAGTCTCATCTCCCATTTCCTTTAAGAGTCAGCTGAATCGCACCATAAGCGCATTCCCTATTTACAGGACGTAAAGTAAGTTCACTTACGCTTTTGCTCTCGTGGATAGGGAAACCTTACCGCAAGACATCAATTAGCCTATAAAAAATTAATTTCATGTGTTAAGCGCAAAGATTTGTTTCAAAACTATTTCTAAATTCATTTCTAATTTCCAGCAAACGAATAAATGAATAATAATAACAAAGTGTGGTCAAAATTTCCAAATTATTTCCAAATACACCTGCTGTGCCCCATATGGTCTAAAACCTGCAGGTGGGCAAATCTAAGCTTGTTTTTAATAAAACAAATATAAATATGGATATAATAAATAATACTGATAATAATAATAACATTATACAAAAGCAAATTGTTATGAATGAACTGAAAAAGCCTCCCGAGATGAAGAAAGTATGAAGGCAGTGGTTTTTAAATTCACGTAGGCTAGAAATTAATATGTTTTGTAATATTTTAATCCTTTATATTTATTTCCTATATATATATCTTTAAGATATTATATATTTTTCACATGTAAAGATATTTGCGTATTGCTCTACATCTTATTTGTATTGTGTAAGCCACGCGTACTTTCCGCCAGACAATAGACAGACTTTGTTCTGGTCTAAAGAACAGACTATTTACAGTTTCTCAAAATAGCAACGTGCCAAAACACGCCTGCTTTTTAAGTCCAGAACGCCTATAGGCGCACATTTGAGCGCAAATGCATTTGCTATTTAAACAGTGTGGCGCAACACCTCAAAATGACCCTTGCGCCAAGCTAAAAGTAGCAAAAGACTATTGTGCCGCGCCTTGCGCCACATTGTGCCGGGTGTATGATAGGGCCCAAAGTGGGGGGAAAATAAACAGGGAGGCTAATAATTCTGACTTTAACTGTATAATATAAATGAAGCGTTTATACATGTGTACATTAATATATGCAAAATAAATATACACAACAGGTGCAACCTTTTATTTTGTGCATGATTAATCTTGATTAATTGTTAAACAGCACTGCTATTTAATAAGACTTAAAAGTCTTTGAGTTTTGACTATTTTTTCAAAAACTTTAACTGGAAGCAAAGTGAATTTTGACTAAGTGTTTTTGTATTTATATTTGGTCAATGTTGTGCATGTTGTAAAATATGACAGTATAATGCAACACATCTACATCTGTCTCTTCATGTTCATTTAGTTTTTTTTTCAGTATCTTGTAGGGTTTTTTGTTGCTGCTTTATTTGGTTTATCTTAGGTCAGACAGAAAATAACATAACGTACATACAATATAAATAACATTGATAAACATAATAATAATAATAAACTTTATTTGTATAGCACTTTTCCAACATACATGCAACTCAAAGTGCCTCACAAACAACAACAAAAGCATTAAAATAGACCACAAAAACTTATCACATATACTGAAATAAAAGCATTCATGTACACTAAATATAAGTATATATCCACATGATCACACACACACAATAGTCCTTACATATGCAAGCACACACCATACATTACATACATTAACCTACAACAAAATAGATAGAATGCGCACACCTAACAAACTTGTTTAATCATACGCAATTTTAAAAACATGTGTCTTAACACTTAACACTTGGTGATTCTTTCACTTCAAGGGGGAGACAGTTCCAAATTGATATACATAACATGCCATGAAAATCACACACTGATACAATTCACAAGAAATGATCAGCAAAGCATAATTATACACTGAATAAGTACATAAATGTGTTGGAGTTTTTATTATTTCTTCTCAAGACAGCAGTTCATCACTATATTTCAAGCTAATTTGCGCTGTTATTTCAGGTCGTTGGAGAACCCGACGCCGCCGTACACGCCTCGGTCTCAGCGCAGGTGATGTTTCTCAGCACACACACTCATTATTCGCTCGTTCTTTTGTTCGTCTCTGATTTTCTGCCGTCCGTCTGCAGGATTGTGGAAGTTCCGGTGTCTCTGTTACCTGACGCTCCGGCTCTGGATGAGGACGTGATCGACTCGCACAACTGGCAGGACACAGTGGAGCCGCACATATTAGCATCGCTAACGTCACGAGAGATCGACAGACAGGCTGTCATCTACGGTAGACACAAACACACACACTCATACAGTTAATCAAGCATTTCATGTTATTTTCTATTTATTTGACTGAAGGCAGGCAGTACAGAATCCTTCTGGAAATAACCAGGGTTCCGACGCTTCTCGAAAGTACTTGAATTTCAGATAGTTTTCTTCTGGAGAAAGTCTTTTTTTGTTGTATTCCATCTATATTTTTTCGATAGTCTACAGCAGGGGTTTTCAAAGTGTGAAGCGCGCCTCCCCTGGGGGGCGCCAGAGCATGTACGGGGAGGCGCGGGAAAAATATTATATAATAACAATATAATTATTAACTTAAATTATTATATGTATTTTTTATTATTTTTAAACGTTTTAATTTAACAAAGCTAAAAAAAATTATACGTCAAAAATAAGAAAACCTTTTTTACCCAGAAGGCCATAGCTGTGAATTCGCTTCTGTTTGGCAAGCCCGCAAATACAGGTATATGCCTGCTAATCATGCTGCTAATGCAATGGATCGGTTTCTGAGTCCCCCCTATTCAAAGCCTTCAAGTTCAGGGCTTAAACCCTAAAGACGATGATATGATGATCAGTATTTGAGTTTAGGATTTACGTGGACAGGACCAGCTGATGAACCACGACCTTTATGTGTGGTTTGTCAAGTTATTTTGGCTAATGACAGCATGAGATCCGCTAAACTTGATGATGAGGTAGCAGGAAAACCTCCAGAATTTTGTGTGTGTGTGTGCGTGCGTGTTTGGGAGGAGGGGGGCGCCAATGGATAAGTTGTGTCAAAAGGGAGGCCCACTGTCTTAGACTTTATAAAACCCTGCTCTACAGATCAAACCATCATTATACAGTAACTTGCCTAATTACCCTAACCTGCCTAATTAACCTAGTTAAGCCTTTACATGTCACTTTAAGCTGTATAGAAGTGTCTTGTAAATATCTAGTCAAATATTATTCACTGTCATCATGACAAAAATAAAATAAATCAGTTATTAGAGATGAGTTATTATTACTATTATGATTAGAAATGTGTTGAAGAAATCTGCTCTCCGTTAAACAGAAATTGGGAAAAAAATAAACATGGGAGCTAATAATTCAGGGGGGCTAATACTTCTGACTTTAACTGAACATTTGTTTATTTATTTATATACTTGTAATCAGAGTTGGGGGTAATGCATTACAAGTAATGTACAAATAATTGAGGGGAATGCACTAGAAGTAATGCGAGTTATCTAATAATATTACTTTTCTAAGTAACGAGTAAAGTAATGCATTACTTTTACAAATTAAATGATTATTTGAGTTACTTTTTTTTAACTGTAACGTTACTTTTAGTTAATACACTTTTAATAAATTGCTGAATTAAAATGAATGTTGAATCCCGCACACAATGAGAGAATGCAGGAACAGACGGAAATGAAGGCGGCAGAGGCTTCTGTGTGCATTCTGTGGTGGAAATATTCTCATTATATTGAACACATGGAAGAAAAGGAAAAGGGGATTATCTGAATGGACGGTGATTTTCTTTTTAATAAGACGTAAAGTAGCAAATGCATTGCTTTAAAGGGTCACGAAACACCAAAACACATTTTTTGAGCTGTTGACAGGCGTATATGTGTCCCACACTGCTAAAAACACTATTAGGACACCTATATTTCACTAAAAAGTGTAAATTGGTTGTTTTTGCGTTATTTTAAACAAATTCGTACTTCCTGTTTGAAACGAATTTTTGAAGCTGCGTCACGGTCATGACATAATAGCGTGTATTCCAGCGTGCAGACTGGGCGTCTGTGCCTGAGTGTGCCATATTACGTCTTACAGTGTGTTGCATTAATGCATGAGTAAGGCTTGGGTCAAACCAATCAGCGCACTCTATTGTGCAACTTCATTAATATTCATTACTGTCACCGTGTTTTCAGGACAGAGACGCCACGTTGTGTTGGCAAAACAAGCGTGAAGTGTTGCTTTTATAGTTTGCTGCAGTTAAGTTTCGTTTTCATTTTCTCTCTGTGAGAGCTCAGACTCACGTGTGGATTACAGTGTACGCAACGCTCGACAACAATAACTTACGTGTCTAAGGAGGATTATTGTTTACCTGAGAGCTGTTCTCATCTGCAAACGCTGGGATCTGGAATCGTTTGTAGTCTTCTCTTCATAAAGACGCGGCTCTAGTTGCTGGTGATTGTCCTGTCTCTACAGATTTGGTAAGTGAGCGAGCAGCGCTCTTTGTTTATTCAATTTGTTCGTATCTAACAAACTATTGCACAGAGTGTAAACACGTTAGCACCACAACCAAACTTTAACCTCGTGTAGGGTTTTTACCGCATTTAGTGACCGGAATAACACGCGCGGCTTTCTGACACTACCTGCCGTGTGCATCTACGTTTCTGGGAAATGCAGAGGGTTTTTTTCTCTCATTCGCCGTGCGGTATAAAACATTGCATGAAAAATACACGCTTAGAGCAGCTCCTCGAATCAAATATCTCGTGTGTCGCGAGGGGCATGAATGAATTCCCTGAATGAAAGAGCCAAACTGCAGTTGAAGTCCACCATTTAATAATTTGGCTAATAATTCGACTACAGATGTCCATGTAGATTAAACACCATCACATTCTCCTGTATGTATGTATGTGTGTGTGTGTGTGTGTGTGTGTGTGTGTGTGTGTGTGTGTGTGTGTGTGTGTGTGTGTGTGTGTGTGTGTGTGTGTGTGTGTGTGTGTGTGTGTGTGTGTGTGTGTGTGTGTGTGTGTATTTTGACTCTGAAACTCGCGCGTGCCCAAATCGACACTCCCACACCCTCCCACTTTAGTTCCTCCGACACTCCCCCCTAAACAGAGCTGGACACGCCCACTTTTCTGACTTTTTCCAAAGAAGAGGTGTGAAAACACCCTGCTGAAACGAGGGGGTTTCATGGCCCTTTAAACTTTCTTCAATCCGAATATACACCATGTGTAGTTCTGGGGGTCAGAAAGTTCTCTGAATATATCATCGTCCAACATTCAATTATTATTATTAATTTATTTTTTTAAGGTAAATGAAGATGTGTTGTTAACTTATCTATTTTAAAAAAAGAAGAGCCCCCCCCCCCTGGAGGTTTTGAAAGAGATCAACCTTCAGCCAGGTCAGAAAAAGTAACGCAAAAGTAACTCGAAAGTAGCGTACTGCATTACTTACAATAAAAAGTAACTAAGTAACACGATTAGTTAATTTTTGGGGAGTAACTCAATATTGTAATGCACTACTCTCTAAAGTAACTTTCCCTAACACTGCTTGTAATTGTAACTTTTAGTGCTGTCAAAATTAGTGCGTTAACGCATACGATTATTTTTTTTAATTTTTAACATGTTAAAAAAATTAACGCAATTAACCCAGTTGCAGTTTTTTTTTGTTTCCTGTTGTGGCGACGGGTTTTCAGCATGCAAAGAAATATGGATCAGACCAAGGAAGCGTTTTTTAGAAGGAAAGTTTCAGTTTAAAACAACTAATGTGGCATTACCAGGCTCTCCAGCGTTTCCTCCAGAGTTTCATCTATTTTTGGCTGTTTCATTTTTAATCTTTAGACTTTAACTGCGGTTCAGCACTTCACTCTCAGTCAGCAACATATTGTTCATGCCCCTTCACAATTATTAAATGAAAATGTGAAGTAAGGTCTGCTGGAAGAGTGCTGTTTTAATGGAATTTGATACCGCATAGCAAAACGTAAAGAAAAACCTCCACATTTCGGGACTCTGTGGTCCTTTAAGGTAATCAAAAATCGATGTTTACATGGTAGACTCTTAAACAGAGTATTATCTTAATCATAAAAGCAGAGTATTGGTGTCCATGTAAAGGTACTTAGTGAAAGTGCCAGAGACAGCCCATTCCTCTGCCTTTAAGTTGATTCCATGCGCCTTCAAATGTTTCATTAAGTTTGACGTGTTTCCCCCTTACACACAACTTTTGCAAAGCATCTGCTTTAAGTTGCTGTGTCAGAATCCTTGCTTGTTAAATACAGCAATACTTTAGAACGCTTAGTTCAAGCAAATTTGATCAACGTGATCGAGCATGTTGACGAATCTGAGGGTGCAGTGTCTGTATCCCTCAAAGCTGCTTAGAATTAATTGTTTAGAGATGGTGTGACCAAAGTCCCTGTAAGAAGTCTATAGGGTTTGGTACGTGCCGTTGATGTACCCCTTGGCCACATTGTCCCCCGATAATGTCAACAGACTGGACTGTCTTAGCAACTGGCTGAATGTAAAGGAGGACTGAGCAAAATTGTTTCTACTTTATAATTAACGTTCTCAACTTACAATACAACTTTACAATGAGTACAATTGTTTGTATTCAATACTTTATTATTATTATTATTATAATTTTTCATATCTCCAATGCCTTTATTTTGGATTTGCATTGTAGCCTACTTAGAATCCAACATGGAAATCATTTTTGTTTGTTTTTGGCATTGATTGTTTTTAAATTTAGATGGCATTAACATGCCTGTGTTTTAATTTCTCTAATAAATACAGCTTTTCGCGATTAATCAAGATTAATTACAAAAGAAAGTTTGATTAATTAGTTATTTTGTTAATCAATTGACAGCCCTAGTAATTTTATAATTTTTAGTTTTTTTTTTTTTTATAACTTTTTTTGTTAAGTTTTCTTTAGTACATGTTAAAATCTCCTAAAAATTACAGTGTTGAAAAAAATGGCTATTTAATAATCTCGGCAGGCCTAGACCAGACTGACCTTCGCTGAAAAAAACTTTAGTGTTTCATTTGGCACAAGCCTAAGCTCATACACTACACGGTTGAGTTCATAAGTATATGGCGTATCATTTGGGATGCAACTGGTGTTTACAGATGAAATCTCAGACTGTATAGCCCAAGGTTAGGCATAAACTGTGTGAAATTGAAGACATTTTGTGCTCGTCTTGCTTCTGTGGTTTATATGTTGTATCTGATCTGTGAGTTGTGTGTCTCTGAGAGTTTTTGAGGCTCAGCGTTCCTCCTCAGGCGCTGAAATGAGCTTCTCTGACAGTTTCAGACATGCCTCTGTCATCAGTCTGACGCGGAGATGAACTCATTTAAGATGATGCATGAGCAGAAACCATATTAATCAGTGTCATGCGTGATCTCAGACCGCCTGAAGACTCAGACTTGAGCGTGTTTATGGGGAAAATGTAAGCTTTGGAACAATTTTAGGAAGTGGTAGCCTAAATCTGAGACTGTCGAAGGAGATGCACACGTCATGACAACTCAATATTAGTGATGGGAAGTTCGGATCATTTTACTGACTCGGGTCTTTGAGTCTTGTTCATCGAGATGAACGAATCTTTTTTCGAGTCATTTCGTTCATTTGGTTCAATTTGTCAAAATATTATGAAAATGTTACTAATTGCTTCCAAACACATCTACAACTAGCCCAAAAGGTTGATCACACGACAAATAAGTCATGAATAGAATACTATAAGAAGGAGAAAATAATAATTCAATGTTTACTTGCTCTTTTGTCATTGAAGGTATTGTTGTCTCTTTGCTCAGCTCACCTCTTCATGTCTTCAAATGTCAGTGGTTCGTTCATGTTACACTGACAGTCACATATAATCTTAACCAATGTACACAGACTGAGTCGATAGGAGCCATGATAATTAGTTCACCTTTCGAGTCTTCTGGTTCTTGAGTCGTCCGTTCATCACGTGACAGAATGACTCAAACCCGAGGACTCGAGAGATGAACGGTTCAATTCTTTTTCCGGCTCTAAACGCATATGATTGGTCCGTGATGAACGAATGACTCACACCTGATAGAGGACTCGAGAGGTGAACGGATCAATTCTTTTTTGGCTCTAAACGCATATGATTGGCTTCTGCCTTTCCGTGATGAACGACTCTAAAGACATGAAATGAACGATACCACTTGCACAAATGTGCGCACGCGAGGATGAACGAATCATGAGAGGACTCGTAGTTCCCGAGTCATATTGAAGATTCGTTCAAATTGACCAAATTATTTATGAACGACCCATCACTCCTCAATATGCAATTTGTGAACAGAAATTACAAAATTTAAGCAGAATAAATAAGCAAACTGCTCAAGATATTGCTTTATCAGTAAAACTAGCCTCAATTAGCTTAATCTTTCAAAAAAATTACTTAAGCTAAAATTTAAAGACTGCTGCATACATTTTGTTTTCTACTGAGAGAAATTTAATTCATGTTTAAAACATATTTTTCATGTGTTAAATATCACATTTTAATGTACATTTTAAAAATATATTTTATTATGTTGTATTTATTATGTAAATCTCTTATTGAATTATGTAGTTGTCTTTATTGATGTATATATTTATCTTTATTGGACTTGCCATTAAATATCCATTATTTGCTGATGTGGCAATGAACAAACACTTATTTTTGTTGAGTATTAAATAAATTAATTTCGTAATTATTCTGTACACTGTACTTCCATCCACATTTTAATATGCTAAGTTTGTGACGTTGCATGAAATAATCACTGGGCGGAAAAGCCTAATGCTTATAAAATCTTAAAATTTGCATTAAAAATACGTTTTTAAAATAAATAAATACCATCTTACAGAATTGCATTCTCAAATGCAAGTAATCCAGATGAGGGTTTTTTTGTTTGTCTTTTTTGGGGGGAAATATCAGAATTCATTTTTTTCCACCAGTTGTTTAAACATTGGATTAAAATTTATTTGCAAATTTTTAGTAATATATACCCCCCCCCCCCCCCCACACACACACACACACACAGACAAAACCTTTGTTTTTATTTGCCTTGCAGAGCTGTTCACAACAGAAGTTTCTCATCTGCGAACACTGAGGGTTCTTGATCAGGTGTTTTATCAGAAGATGCAGAGCGTCCTCAGTCCAGAAGAGCTATCCTGTATTTTCCTGAACCTCCGTCAAGTCTATGAGCTGCACGGTCTGTATTCACACTTATTTAACATACACACTCCAGACTTAATAGTTTTATTCATGTCAGTATTCTGAATGTTTTTACTGAGGGGTTTGTTGATGTATCATTTAAGTCATTTTAGGGAACATATTATACATCATAACCTGATTAGACTGTGTTTTATTCTGGCTGTTGACTGTTTTCTGTTTTTTAGGGTGACATAAAGAGATGTCCAAATAGCCCTCTATAAAAACCTTTTAAGGCTAGTATGTCAACATAATGAAATAAGAATTATGAAGCTATTCTGTTCAAATTTTTTATTGTATTTTTTATTTATGCAAATTTTATTTAAATTATATGTATTTAAAATTGTTTATTTAAATGGACTAAAGGTAATCAATCAGTGTTTGCAGTTCTCAATGTGACCAGTGTTCCAAAGAGTTAAATTTAACCTTATTCTTCCATGAACTCTTGTGCAGATTTCAGTTATAGTGCGTTGTACATAGTTTTTTTTTTCTCCACTTTAGCACAACAAGTGCTGATGCAAGTTTTATTCAGTCTATATTCTAAAGGTTTTTATTGAAGGGTTTGTTGATGTATAATTTGAGTAATTTTAGAGAACATTTAATACAAAAAACATGATCAAAAAGAGTTTATTTTGGCCTTAGACCGTATTTTAAATTTTATTTATGCAAATTATGTAAAATTAATTTAATTCCATACTTAATCATTTTAGATAACTCAATAAAAGTTTTTACAATTATTAATGCAATCAGTTGTCTGGCGGAGTTCAATTTAACCTCTTTCTTGCATTAAGTTTTGTGCAGATTTTAATTACAGTGCACATCTTTAAGTCATTTTATCTCCACTTCAGCACAACAAACATAAACCAAACTTGATAGTTTTAATTATATCTATTTTCAAAACGTTTTTACTGAAGGGTTTGTTGATATGTAACTTTTGAATCATTTTAGGGAACATTTTATACTTAAAAACTTGATCAAAATTATTTTGGCATAATTTTCTGACATTTAAAAATCTTTAATACAAATATGTTGACAAAAGTAAGCAATTGTGGTTCTGACTATATTTAGTGTCCTGAATTCCTTTAAGGGAATGTACAATAAAAACAATGTAAATTTAATTCTAACTACAACTAGAGTTAAGTTTAACACTTTTCTTACATGACCTCTTGTTTTTTTTTTTGTTTTTTTTTGACAAAAACTTGATCAAAATGTGTTTTATTTTGGCATAATTTTCCGACATTTAAAAAAAAAACTTTAATACTAATATGTTGACAAAATTAAGCAATTATGACCCTGACTTTATTCAGTGTTCTGAATTTGTTTGAGGAAATGTACACAAAATAGTGCAAATTTTATTTTACTACAACTTGAGTTAAATGTAACCCTATTCTTACATGACGTCTTGTGCAGATTTTAATTACAGTGCATCTTTAAGTCGTTTTTTCTCCACTTCAGCACAACAAATACACACCAAACTTGATAGTTTTATTCATGTCTATATTCTAAAGATTTACACTGAAGGGTTTGTTGATTATATAATTTGAGTCATTTTAGGGAACATTTTATACATATGAAACCTGATCAAAATGTGTTTTATTTTAGATTGATTTTTATGATATGCAAAATCTGTTCTATGTAAACCTCTAACACTAACATGTCAACAAAATTAAGCCCCTCAGACTGATTTTATTCAGTGTTTTGAAATTCTTTGGGGAAATGTACACAAAATAGTGTACATTTAATCTAACTGCAAGTGGAGTTAAATGTAATCCTATTCTTACATGACGTCTTGTGCAGATTTCGATTACAGTGCTTTAAGACATTTTATCTCTACTTCAGCACAACAAATACACACCAAACTTGATAATTTTATTCATGTCTATATTCTAAAGGTTTTTACTGAAGGGTTTGTTCATATATAATTTGAGTCATTTTAGGGAACATTTTATACATCATAACCTGATCAAAATGTGTTTAATTCTGGCTTTAATATTTTATTTTTCTAAAACTTTCAACACTATTTAAAATTCATTCTATTAAAACCTTTATTGCTAATATATCAACAAAATTACTTACTACAATGACTTAATTCATTGTTATGCATTATTTTGTGTACATTTTCTCAAAATATTCTGATTTAACTTTACAGCATATGTAATCATGCAAAAAATGCCATCATCAATGTAATAAATCAGTTAAATTAACCATATTCTTGTCTGAAGTCCTGCGCCAATACTAATGTTGATTTTGGTATTTAAATCTTAATTTTTTTGTCTTTCAGCAAGTTTATGTGAGTCCATGAAGAAGTGCAGAGAATCAGTGATAGTTCAGGGCATTGGAGACATCATGCTGGCCAGAGTGAGTCTCATTTCTCTGTCTTCATCTCTGGATTTCTGTCTGTGTTGGTGAAGTGTGTGTTTTTACCAGTGTTTGTGTGTGTTAGTTTGAGGGAGAGGCTGGAGATCAGTTTGAGGAGCAGGTTTCGCATCTGTGCAGTCAACAGAGTCCAGCGCTGGAGCTCATCAAGAACAAACAGCGAAAAGACCCTCGATTCGCCCACCTCATACAGGTAATTCAACGGCACAGTTTATTTGCACTGATTATCTGAAGTAATTTAATCTGATGGCAGATCTGTTTACATGGACTCTAAACATTGTAATCTCATTCAAGCATCCATCTATGATATATATTCTGATTAAAACTTTAGCATTTAATAATGTTTAAGTTCAACGCAGGGGTAAGCAGAATGATCTTGTTTTGCTTTGACATAGCATTTGGTCACACTTTATTCTGATGGCCTGTTTGTTGAATTTATTTTTCTGTGTTTCTGTGGTGTTTTTCAGGAGTGTGAGGCCAGTCCTCACTGCCGGCGGCTGCAGCTGAAGGATCTGCTGGTGTCAGAGATGCAGCGCTTGACCAAATATCCACTGCTGCTGGACAACATCATCAAATACACAGAGAGTGAGTCCACACACACACACAGACGTCAACATAACGGCAGGTTTTTAGGTGTTTAGAGATCATTTCACGCCATACTAACAAATACAATACTGTATTGTATGTATTGCATGTAATCTGGCCATAAAAATTTGGCCCGATGGGGCCCAGGCCCGACAGAATTCAGCCCGAGCCTGACAGGTACATTTTGATTGACAGCTTTAAAATGCCCGAACCCATTTATAGCCCAACATTATTTAAATGTGCACATGCACACAGCTCTTTTGCCTTTTATCAAGAATGAGTCATTTTTTATGTTTTAACATAATTTATTTGTTACAAGCGTAGGCTAGGCTATATGCCACTTGGAAGTTGGAACAAAGAAATAAAATAAGCCCTCTGTAACATCGTAACATCGTCTCAGCACTCTATATAGGCCTGGGTACATAAACCTAGCCTTTAAATTGGCCAACACACCAATGAAAATAAGACTTGCTTAACAAATCAAATTAAAATAAACTAAATGATGACGGGTATTTGGCAATAACGAAATTAAGCTGAAAGCTCTGCGGGATTTGTTTCACCACTTCTCTTCATAATCTGGCATTAAGGCGACGGTGAAGCTGAATAATAGTAGCCTAATGCCAACATTAGCCTGTATACTCATGTCTACATTATGATTTTATGGTTTAATTTATATTTATTTTTAATTTTAAAATCCTTTACTCAGCAAGATTAGGCTACGTGTTTATGTGGAGGAACATTATTGAATCCACTGTAAATGGCTTTAGCGCAGTCCTGCGCTCAGGATGGTGCGTCCAGAAGCACTGAACACCCTTTCTGCTGCTGCTGCTGTTGCTACAGGCCGAGATGCAGAGTTCTGATCTGGCTAACTTTGCAAGTTTTGTGTAGGATTGTTTGTTCATCTACTACCAGCCAAGAACATCCACTTCATTTTCCACGACAGCGGTTTCAGTGTAGCGAGTGACCTCATCATCTTCCCTGTCAGCTCGCTGTACATAGATTGCTGTTTAGCGCTCTACCGTAATGCGCAGTGTATGAGCGACCGCCGAAATACCTTTGCGGCTAGAATGACAGGTTCTTTCTGAACTGGTGACTGGCTTGACCGCTGTCAAAATTCACTCTTAATAACTTCTCCGTCATCATTTGTTTCACCTTTGCAGGGAGGGAATTTGATGTTGTAACAAACGATTTGATTACTTTCTCGCGCTAATCGATTTACTAATCACATTTACTGCCAAGCCCGGCCCGACCCAACCCCCTCTAAACTTATAGAAATTAAACCCGAACCCACCTAAACCCGTCGGGTCCCGCCGGGTCCCGTCAGGTTTGGGCGAAAATCTCCAGCTCTACAGCAGATAACAACACATCACTTAAAATATGACGAAAATAGAGAAAAAAAAAACTAATAGTAAACATTTTAATAGTAACTAACTAACACTTTTCACTTTATTACATAACTATATTAGGAATTATTTAATGAAAAGTAAAAAAAAGTAAAGTTTTCAGACATTTGTATAGTTTGACAGCATAATACAAATGTTTTACTTCAGAGCTGTTCAGAAATCACTGTTTGGTGGAATAAACCTGCTTTTCTATCACAGCAATAAAACAAAAATGTGTTTTTTACTCAAATATGTAGCTATATTTTTTCATTTAGAGCATTCGTTGCAACTAACATACATGTCATGTTTTCAGACTCAACATAACACTAATGTTTAATCTACAGAAGAGTCAAGAAGTCAATATTTGGTGGAATAAGCTTGAGTTTGGATGAGTTCTGCAATGTTGCGGAAATGAAAATTGTTTCTAAAATAGACATTTTGCATGTTGTCATTGCAGATGGTTAGAACAAAAACTCCTTTTAACATCATTTATGTGTGTGTGTGTGTTTCCAGCAAGTTCTCCTGATCTGCCGCTCCTCCGGAGAGCTCAGGCGTGCTGTCGTGGGATTCTGCAGGAAGTGAATGAGGACGTGAGGGAGACTGAACACCGGCATTTGCTCAGCCAATACCAGCGCAGACTGGATGCCACGCCTCTGGAGAGACTGGCCAATCCCGTCGCAGCGCAGTTTAGGGTACGGGCTCCTTCTCTACATTCTTTTTTTCTTTTTAACTGTGTTTTATTAAAGTTTTTATAAACATAGTAAACAAATAACATTTACTTAGAATGTGTACAATCACAAAAAAGAAACAAATAAATAGAAAATAATCATTGGTAAAAATGATAATAATACATAAATAATAGTGGTAGCTTTAAATAAATAAATAAGTAAATAAATACATACATACATAAATAAGTAAATACATAAATAAATAAATACATACATAAATAAATAAATACATCAATAAATAAATACATAAATAAATACATCAATAAATACATAAATACATAAATAAATAAATACATCAATAAATAAATACATCAATAAATACATCAATAAATACATCAATAAATACATAAATACATAAATAAATAAATACATAAATAAATACATCAATAAATACATAAATACATAAATAAATAAATACATCAATAAATAAATACATCAATAAATACATCAATAAATACATCAATAAATACATAAATACATAAATAAATAAATACATAAATAAATAAATACATACATACATACAAACATACATAAAAAAAAAGGGGGGGGGGGGGGGTTAAAATAAACTTCAATATAAAGGCAATAACTACAACAAAGATAAAGCCCCTGACAGCCTTTCAAAGATCAAGTAAGTTTGTTTCAATTAATGCTCAGGTCTGCTGGAAAAGGTCTGATTTCAACTGCAAATCTGCAGTCATTTTCTCAAATATTTATACATCTGTTTCAGCCTCTGTGTCCATTCTGTCAAAGTAGGTTGGCGGGTCTTCATCTAGTTCACAGTAATTATCTTCCTAGCTGTTAATAATGTTTGTAGTGCAAATCGGTGAGACTTACTGAACTGATTAGCGGGGAAGCCATCAAGCAAAAAAATACTGGGTGCATAGGTATGTCGTATCCTAAATCTTTACTAATCTCCCTGCTAATACACTCATAATGACCTTACTTTTCATGTACGAGCTGGTGCAGCTATTGCTATCTTTTTGACCTGTGACTTCCGTTCTCATTCACTTCCATTGATTTTTAGACATTACAAACAGCTTGTTCCGCTGCTTGATGATATTTACTGTTTAACTCTATTCATGAATGCTCTTGTTTGTAGAGCAAGTCGTTTAACTGTTTATTATTGCTAGTCATTTCTCCTTTAGCAAACTGAACCGGTAGATCTAAATCAGTCGAAGAAATGAGCGCACTTCAGCATCGCAATATAAAGTCATTTAATGCAGCGCTTTTTGTCTAGTCTGAGGCCCTGTTTACATTAATGCGTTTTTGTTTTAAAACGCATAAATTTTGCTACAGTTACGCCATCCGTCAACACTACGCCGGAGTTTTCAAGCGCTGAAAACGCTGGAGAGGCCGTTTTCATTCTAAAACACTGCTGCTCCATCTCAGTTTGGGTGGGGGAAAACGAAGACATCTGAAAACTGAGGAGGGGCTGCAGACATTCGCCACTCTGATTGGGGCTTTTCCTAAATATTAAGTAGCCTAACGTTACACACAGTTCAGTCCTGCATCTTCTCCTTGTAAGTTCAGACTTCGCAAGTTTGATCAAGGCTGCAGTCTCTTCTTCTCAGTTTGATATGGAAAACAAACTACCGAGGACACGGTTAAATCTTCAAAGGGAACAGTGTGCTTTATAACCTTATTCACGTCACCTTGGCTACGTTGTTTCACTTTCTAACAATAAAATGAAAGAATGATATAAGGAACTGCTATTTTAATTTTGATATTAGCAACTTATCAGACAGTAAAAGTGTTGAGGTGTCGTGTTGCATATATGAGCGTCATCTTCACTGTGTGCATATTTATAACAAAACGGAGCCTGTAACAACTGCCTCCTTTCAACTTCAGTGTAAATACGAAACACAGCCTCTCTTTTGCTGAATATCAGTTTTAATAATCGATAATGGCCATTATAAAAGTATAACATCGAATACGTTTATACATTATAGGAAATGAAGGCAAGCGATCAGTCAATATACAGAATGTAGGCTGCGTGGTTTCATTAATCATTAACTTATCTTTGCGCTCAGCCAAAACACGTTACCTAAGAACAAGTAATGGATTCCAATGACCAAAGTCAGGGAACATGTCGTTAGATAAAGACAACAAGATAAATGAAATATCACCTTTAATAAATATAGTGAGATTAGATCCAGCGGGAGATGCTTGAGCACTCCGAGCACAGCTCATATCTGGGTAGAAATGCTGCAGCGCTTGCCCGAGAGTGTCTGTGTGGTCACGTGATGTGCGTTTTCAGCGTTTTGGTGTGGACGGAGAGCAGTTCAGAAACGCTGGGTAAAACGCGAGTGTGGACGCGGATCGTTTTCATTCTAAAACGTTGTTTTATAACTAATACGCACTAATGTAAACGGGGCCTTAGACTCACTTTTTCATATCTCAATCCGGCTGTAAAGATCACTGATGTTTACCGAAACCAGAACTTAAATGGGTCACACTTTATTTTGATGATCTGTTTGTTGAATTTAAGTTGCACTGCATCTACATGCCAACTAATTCTCATTAGACTAAGTAGACTGTTAGGTTGGGGTTAGAATTAGTGTAAGTTGGCATGTACTTGCAAAGTTTCTTATAGTCAGGTAAACGTCTGTTTAGCAGCAGTATCAGCAGATATTAAGCAGACAGTCTACTAATACTCCAATCGGCCATCAAAATCAAGTGTTACCCATAAATGTGGTGAGTTTGGTGAGTTTATAGTGACAGTTCACCGGGAGAGACTGACCAGGATTACTCAAAATTAGAAGTCCCTGTTCATGCACTCCATTTAATCAAAAAGTCTTTAATTACAAATTGCACCCACATTCTCATCACATGTATTTTAGCAAGCAGGTTGATCATTTTCTGCCGTTTATTATTCCTAGTCATTTCTCCCATAGGAAACTGAATTGAAAGTTCTTAAACAATTGCAAAAATCCAGCTTTAGCATTGCAGAAGAAGTCAATATCAATGATTCATTGTTAATTTCTCTGACAGAATCTGGATCTCACCACCAAGAGGATGGTCCACGAGGGGCCGCTCACGTGGAGAGTCGGCAAAGACAAAGCCATTGGTAATTTATTTATTCATTCATTAATTTTCTTTTCTTGATGCAGACAGACCTGTCAGAACACAATCTTACTAATACAATTAACCACCAAAATGATTCTGTGCTTTTATTATGGGACAATAATGGTTACGATAATCATCCACAGGTGATCACATGACTAATTACTCCCTAAAATAAATAAAATGATTTTAGAAACTGTAGATTTGAGTACATTTAGCATTTAATGATAAACATTTCTAGCATTTGAAATGTGTTTTATTTTATTTTAATTTATTTCTTTTTTTAGATTTATTTGTGGCCTTTTTGGCTTTATTAGATAGGACAGTATTGAGACAGTAAGCGAAGTTGAAAAGAGAGAGCGAGAGTAAGAGGGTACGGTAGGGAAATGTCCTCGAGCCGGGATTCGAACTTGGGACGCCCTGACGTGCTACTGCTCTATATGTCGGTGCTCTAACCACTAGGCTATAATCCTCTGTTATTTTATATAGTTTGTTAAATAAATGAAAATGGTTTTAGGAAACTTTGAATACATCCAAAAACCTTTAAATCAAAAATGCAATTGATTTATAAAAACTCATTATATTATTTATTTATAGTAAAAGCAACACTTATTGAAAATAAAAAATAAAATAAAAAAACATCAAACAGATATAAATGACTACAGTGCATTTAATAAAAAGACCAGGAGGGTAGAAAAACAGATTAGAAATCATAGATATATTTTTTTATCTTTATAATTTATATTTAAAGTCATTTATTATGCTATGTAATTTAATGAATAATCATTTATGTCAAACAAATTAGCTTGTGTTGTAGGAAACATAAAATAAGCAAGTTTAAAATATAAAAAACATATTGCCCAAACACACACCAAACTTAATAGTTTTTTCAGATCTTTATTGTGAAGGTAACTTAAACCTTTAAAACTTGTGTTTATTTATTTATTTTATTTATTTATTTATTTTTTACATTTAAAAAAAATAATTCTTACATACTTGTTTTGCACACAGATGAGCTAAAAGCTGAAACACACAGAGACTGATCTCAGTCTATGAACCGGAAGCTGCGACCGTTTATTTATTTATTTTCGTATTGTGTTGCAGTTTCTTGACACAATGTTAAATTAGAAAACAGTGGGCGTGGCTTGTTTTTTCTTCTGAGAGCTGATTGGATGTAGTTAAGTAGGCATTTCATTTAGAAAGATTGGCAAAAGAGATTGGGGAGAGTTATTACAACCTAACAGACTCCTCCTGCTCACCATTACTGTTTGTTGTCAAAACAACAATCTCAGACCTAATCTGAGTATTTAACTGAAGACAAAAAGAAAGTGCATTTTCAGATTTAGATTAAATAATCTAAAGGACAAACTATTATTTTTTTCTTACTGAGTGACAGATGAATTGTTCAGCACAAAACTGGCAATGAGAGTTAACATAATCAGGTTTGATTTGATTTGTCCTTTAATGAGTGTTTGTGTGTGAATGTGTTTCAGAGATCCAGGCGCTGCTGCTCTCAGACCTGCTGCTCTTGCTCCAGCGGGGGCCGGACGACAGGCTCATCCTGCGATGTCCGTCACGCTCGCTGGGCGGAGTTACAGACCTCAAAACACCCTTCTGTCCTGTGGTTTGCCTCAATTCCTGCCTCGTCCGCCCCGTCGCCACAGGTCACACACATATTTTCCTTCAAATAACACCTATTATACCCCTTTTTACCAGATGTAAAATACGCCTCTGGTGTCCCTAGAGTGTGTGTGTGTGTGAAGTTTCAGCTCAGAATAGCACACAGAAAGTGTTTAATGACTCTCTGAAACGGACCATTTTAGGCTTGGAGCCAAATTGGGGAGTTTTAATGCCTGTCGCTTTAAATTCAAATGAGACTGTGCTCTTTTTAAAAGAGGGCGGGGCTACAAATGCCTGCGTGTCAGCATAGTGGCAGATTCAAAACAGGACTAGCGTTATCTGTGTGGAAATGTGTGTGCGCTTCATGCTTCTGTCAGTCTGTAGAGACTCCTGTTGCTGTTCATTTGTGCTTCATCTAAAACTCCACATCTATAATCCTCTAAGTCAGGGGTTTTCAAAGTGTGAGGCACGCCTCCCCTGGGGGGCGCCAGAGCATGTCAGGGGAGGCGCGGGAAGAAATATAATACAATAAAAATATAATTATTAAGTTTAATTATTATATGTATTTTTTATTATATTTAAACGTTTTAATTAAATAAAGCAAAAAAAAAAAAAATACGTCAAATATAAGAAAACCTTTTTTACCCAGAAGGCCATAGCTGTGAATTCGCTTCTGTTTGGCAAGCCCGCCAGTACAGGTATATGCCTGCTAATACAATGGGTCGGTTTCTGAGACCCCCCGATTCAAAGCTGTAATGAAGTTCACAGCCCTTTGGCCGCCGGGAAGAAGGAGGCGGAGAACCGACGCAGTTTTAAAATGATTTATTAATAACAGTGACGGCAGCTCCTCACGGAGGCTGCCGTCTAAACCAAAACTAACGGACAGCAGCTCCTCACGGAGACTGCCGTCAAACTAAAAGCAAAAGTAAAATAAGCCTTCAAGTTCAGGGCTTAAACCCAAAAGACGATGATATGATGGTCAGTATTTGAGTTTAGGATTTACATGGACAGGACCAGCTGATGAACCACGACCTTTATGTGTGGTTTGTCAAGATATTTTGGCTAATGACAGCATGAGACCCGCTAAACTTCGACTGTTTTGACTGGGATGGACAGTTCTTGGATCTGTTCTATTCATATTGAACCATCATCCTAGTTTTAAAAACGTTATATTAAAATACTTGTTATTACTCTGTAAATAATTGCACTTTCATGCGAATGATGATAAAAGTGAGTTAACAGTCTGACATCTGTCTGTGTCTTTATATATACTGTATATATATATGTGTGTGTGTGTGTGTGTGTGTGTGTGTGTGTGTGTGTGTGTGTGTGTGTGTGTGTGTGTGTGTGTGTGTGTGTGTGTGTGTGTGTGTGTGTGTGTGTGTGTGTGTGTGTGTGTGTGTGTGTGTTTGGGAGGAGGGGGGCGCCAATGGATAAGTTGTGTCAAAATGGAGGCCCACTGTCTTAGACTTAGAAAAACCCTGCTCTAAGTCTATGCTGACGTTATCTTCAGCAGCTCAAACACTCTAATGCAGGGAGGAAAAACTATGGTGTGGTTGGTTTTAACGTAACTTTATTCTTTTATTGGTTATTTACAAGTTTCTGACCACTTATAAAATGTGTTCTATGTGCTGCCCATTGTGTTGGATTGTCAATGCAAGCCTCTTCTCCCACTCTTCACACACTGATAGCAACACAGCAGGAGAAATGCCAGCGCAGGCTTCCAGTATGCGTAGTTTCAGGTGCTGCACATCTTGCATCTTCACATAGACTACAAATATAGTGGGGCCATTCCTCATCAATGGAATCCTCAAGGCCACTGGATATTCGAGATTGCTCCATGATGATGTGTTTCCCTCTTCATGCACTGAAGCTGGCACGTTCCCTGAGTTTTTCCAGCAAGATGGTGCACCACCACATTATGGGTGTCAGGTCCGAGCATTCCTAGATGAACAGTTTCCTGAAAAAGGGATTGGTCATCATGGGCCAGTTGAGTGGCCCCTAGGGTCTCCCGATCTGACCCCCTTAGACTTTTATTTTTGGGGTCATCTGAAGGCAATTGTCTATGTGTGAAGATACAAGATGTGCAGCACCTGAAACTGTGGATACTGGAAGCCTGTGCTGGTCAAGATGGTCTAGTGGGCGGGGCGTTCATCCTCGTACGAAGCCGTTTAAAGTGTGTCTGCAGACTGGTTTATCAAGTGTGATTATAAAAAATAGATTGACTTTTGACCATTAGAGGCTGGATATATTCTCACTCTGCTTCACACAACTGTGTTTAAACCCATTATTAAAGTGATTTCTGCATAATAGACGCCCTTTAAACAACTTTCCTCCTTCATTTGCAGACAATAAAGCGCTGTATGTGATCAGCACATCCGAGAGGCAGATCTATGAGCTGGTGGCCGGAACGTTACTGGAGAAAAACACGTGAGTCTCCCATTGGCTGCTTCGGTTTGATTGACAGCACCTGCAGCCTATCAGGGCACTTTATTTAATCCTGCTCATTTCAAAGGGGGATATTTTGTCTGCAAACTTGACGTTTTGTAATTGATCAGTGTTTTGTTGTTGTTTGTTATAGTTGGAAAGACCAGCTGGAAAAGACAATCTCTGCAGCCGCTCAAGGAGGATCAACCAAACCAAACACACCACGGTAGCCACACATATATATATATAATGAAAATCAATACTTTTATACATTTTTCAATGAATATAGATTAGATATATGTGTGTTTTTTAAACCGGTATAATCTATAATAGGGAGACACAATGGTTAGCCTCACAGCAAAGAGGTCGCTGGTTTGAGCCTCGGCTGGGTCAGTTGACATTTCTGTGTGGAGTTTGCATGTTCTCCCCAGGTTTCCTAAGGGTGCTCTGGTTTCCCCCGCAGTCCAAACACATGTGCCATAGAGGTGTTGGGTAGGCTAAATTGTACCTAGTGTATGTGTGTGAATGAGCATATGGGTGATTCCCAATGATGGGTTGCAGCTAAAAGGGCATCCCCTGCATAAAACATATGCTGGATAAGTTGGTGGTTCATTCCACTGTGGCGACCCCTGATGAATAAAGGGACTAAGCTGAAGGAGAATGAATGAATGAATGCTCATTAAAATAAAGGGTCAACGAACATCGTTAGAAATGGAAATATAATACATTTAAATGAGTTATTGCAAAACAAAATTGACTAGCTAACAAATAAATTAAAAAAAATTCTGTTGATTTTTCTGCTTATTAATTGCATTTAATATTTTTTCCAGACATATTCATTTGCGTGTGGTAATTTCTGCACCCTCATCTCAAGTTTTGCTGTTAGATTAGCCCCAGTTTTGGCTTTGGTACTGGCCAATCTCGTGTATATGCACAACTATATGATTGTTAAGCATACTGTTGAAAATTATAATTAAAAAGAGGGATCTGCATGTTTGGCTCTTGAAAAGCTTACATATATAATGAGGAAAAGGTCCTCTGAGTTTTGTGATATCTGTGAGGTGTTTTTGAACTCTGTGACAAATTGAGATATTGAAGAAGCTTTACAGTTGTGGAACGTGAACTGGTGTTTGATTACATTTCTTTTTTTTTTATCCATTCATTTTCTTTTTGGCTTAGTCCCTTTATTTTTTGGGGTTGCCACAGTGGAATGAACCGCCAACTATTCCAGCATATGTTTTACACAGCCGATGCCCTTTCAGCTGCAACCCATCACTGGGAAACACCAATTCACACACATACTCTAAGGCCAATTTAGCTTACCCAATTCACCTATACTACATGTCTTTGGACTTGTGGGGGGATACTGGAGCACCTGAAGGAAACCCACACTAACAGGGGGAGAACATGCAAACTCCACAAAGAAATTGCAACTGGCCCAGCCAAGGCTCGAACCTGCGAACTACCAACTGCATCACCACACCGTCAGATTTCTTTTTCTTTTCTTTTATTTATTATTATTATTATTGTTTATTTATTTATTCAATAATTAATTAATTAAAACATTTTGTTCCCTAAACCTGTCTGGGGTAAGTTTTGGGTATTGGGGTTGGATTTATTGCAAAACCTTAAAAAAACTTAATAAAGACATGTCAAACACAAAAAGAGAGATCTGTGAAGGGTGCACTCATTTATGCTGAGCACTACATTTAATTAAATAATATTTACTAAATAATTGCATTAATGTAATAAGTTAATCAGTTATTTTATTATATTTATGAATTATTTTATTTAATTTTAATTGTGTCATATGTGTGCTCAGTTTCAGGTCTCCAGGTGCGGGTGTGAGATTATCTGCCGATCAGTCAGGTAAGAGTCATGAACCGATATCAGCAGATTAAAAATGCATTGTGCGTGTGTCTGTGTGCGCGTGTGTGTGTTTGTGTTAGTTTAACATAGCATGTTAAACTATAACAACAAATAACAACAAATACCTAATACACATGCTGTGCCCCATATGGTCTAAATTCGATAGGTGGGCAAATCTAAGCTTGTTTTTAATAAAACAAATATAAATATGGATATAATAAATAATACTGCTAATAATAATAACATTATACAAAAGCAAATTGTCATGAATAAACTGAAAAGGATCCTAGACATGGAAGCATGAAGGCAGTGGTTTTTATATTTTTGTAGAAAATAATAATTTTTACAATATTTTAATCCTTTAATTATTTTTCATTTGTAAAGATGTTTGCGTATTGATAGGATAGGATAAACTTTATTTGTCCCCGAGAGGAAATTTGTCTTGGGCAAAAAAGGTGCTACAACATTGCTCTAAACAGACAGTAAAAATAAATAAAACAAAACAAATAAGAACAAACAGTTAAGAACATACATTGCTGCACGTCCTGCGTGTATTCAGTAATGTGTAAGCGAGGCGCACAGCTGACATGCTCTGCGCTGGACTATAGACCTGCTCTCAGCTGGTCTGTTGAACCGTCTATTTAAAGGGCCATGAAACCCCCTCGTTTCAGCAGGGTGTTTTCACACCTCTACTTTGGAAAAAGTCAGAACAGTGGGCGTGTCCAGCTCTGTTTAGGGGGGAGTGTCGGAGGAAGAAAAGTGGGATGGTGTGGGAGTGTCTATTTGGGCACGCTGAGTTTTAGAGCCAAAATACACAAACACAGTGGACAAAGTGACTTTGTGTACATGGATATCTGTAGTCGAATTATTTGCCAAATTATTAAATGGTGGACTTTAACTGCAGTTTGGCTCTTTAATTCAGGGAATTCATTCATGCCCCTCGCGACAAACGAGATATTTGATTCGAGGAACTGCTGTAAGTGTGTATTTTTCATGCAATGTTTGATATCGCACGGCGAATGAGAGAAAAAAGAAACTCAGCATTTCCCGGAAACTTAGATGCACACGGCAGGTAGCGTCAGAAAGCCGCGTGTGTTATTCCAGTCACAAAATCCGGTGAAAACCCTACACGAGGTTAAAGTTTGGTTGTGGTGCTAACATGTTTACACTCGGTGCAATAGTTAACTTAGTTCGATATGAACAAACTGAATAAACAAAGAGCACTGGTCGCTCACTTACCAAATCTGTAGAGACAGGACAATCAACAACAACTAGAGCCGCGTCTTTATCAAGAGAAGACTACAAGCGAATCCGATCTTAGAGTTTGCATATGAGAACAGCTCTCAGGTAAACGATGTTCCTCCTTAGACACGTAAGTTATTGTTGTCGAGCGTCGCGTACACTGTTAATCCACACGTGACTCTGAGCTCTCACAGAGAGAAAATGAAAACAAAACTTAACTGCAGCAAACTATAAAAGCAACACTTCACGCTTGTTTTGCCAACACAACGTGGCGTCTCTGTCGTGAAAACACTGTGACACTAATGAATATTAATGAAGTTGCACAATGGAGCGCGCTGATTGGTTTGAACCAAGCTTTACTCATGCATTAATGCAACACACTGTAATGCCGAGTTCAGACTGCATGATTTTCAAAAATAGTCGTGTCACAGATGTTTTCACACTGCTTGACTATCTGGGCTAGCGTTTCGTCGCTGCTTTGTTTACACTGCAAGATGGATCGGTGACAGGGGGTTTCCCACTGCATGACTTTACTATAGGGAGAATCGCCGACAACTTCGTCCAAACTACGTCTCACAGCCAAAAACAGGTAGTATATCTTTTGTTATTAACTACATAATGAGAAAGAAGCCTTTAATGGGGTAGAACATGTACATGTTTGCTCACCTGGGTTTAAAGGGAATTAGCCATTTCTCCTTAACGTTGATAATAAACTAATTTCTTTCTGTATGAAACGTCAAACAGACACAGTTGCTCCTGAGTCCTGTCAAACCTCCACTAGTTTTCCCTCCATTTCGTGGGTCCAAATAAACCGAAAATGAGCGCTTTTAACTTCTCCCCCAGCCTCCCGCTGACCTGCAGCAGTTACACACACACACACACACAGACAAGTGAATGCCGCTCTCTCATTGGCTGTAGGCGATCGCTGATGTTATTTTCAGTCAAAACTCAATTCACACGGTATGATTTGAATCGCCGACAGCTCCAGATATTCAGCACGCCAAATATCTCACAGGCATCGGCGACTCATCGGCGATTCTCTCAGATTGCGTCGTTGATAGTTCATACTTTGTGATTGTCACTCACGTGCACGAGCAGCGATTTGCCTGTGATTTCAGGCATTTGTCGGCGATTTCTCAAAACCTGTCGGCGAGCCGAAATCGGGGCTAAAATCACGCAGTCTAAACTAGGCATAAGACGTAATAAGACACACTCTGGTACAGGCGTCCAGTCTGCACGTCATAATAGTCTTTAAAATGTCTTAATCTTTAATTTGACTCTTCGAAACCTGTAGAAACCCTTAATATGAAAAACAAAAACTGTGGAAGTCAATGATTAAAGGTTTCCAGCATTCTTCAACATACTATATTTTACAATTGTTGTTTGTTTTAACCTGCAGAACTGCGAGAAGTCTTTTAATTTCCGCTAAATGCTTTTGTTTGCGGATTTTATTTATTTATGTTCATGTATATTTGTTTGTGTATCATTTCTTATTGAAATGTGAAGTTGTTCTTATCATGTAATGCGTTTATGTACAGTTAAGGTCACAATAATTTACCCTCAAATCAAATATTTCCCTAATGATGTTTAACAGAGCAAGGAAATGTTCACAGTATGTCTGATAATATTTTTTTCTTCTGGAGAAAGTCTTATTTGTTTTATTTTGGCTAGAATTAAGGCAGTTTTTAAAGTAAAACCATTTTAAGGTCAATATATAATTCAGCTGTTTATAGATCTTGCTGTGATATATATAAACAAACAGATCTAATTGACTGCTGCTGCTGCTGCTGTGTGTGTTTCTCTCCTCCAGAAGGCTCTGAATCCCGCATGTATCCAGACAGAGAGGATGAGATGGTTCTCTCTCCTGTCGTCACACCGGCTGATGCAGCTGAAGAGTGTCCGGATGAAGATCCAGACGCGGGCCAGAAAAACAAAGCTGGAGTGGCTGAATCTGCTCTCCAGGACGGTGAGAGATCCTCGTTCAGATTGTGGAAAGGAGTTTGATTTCTCATGTGAAGTCAGTCAGTAGAGATTATAGCTAAATATTTTGCATTTTTTGCATGTCCTTTATGGCATACAATTCATTGAAATAGCAATAAAATAACATTCATTACATTTTTTTAAAAAACCAACAAAACTGTTTTGCATTTTGTGATTTTATTTATTTATTTATTAATTTTTTCAGTTAAATAAAATATATTTTCCATTTATATATTAGCAAATATTTTGCTAACAAATAAAATAAAAGTCGGGGCAATAGCCTAGTGGTTAGTGCGCTAACATATAAAGCAGTAGAATCCCGGCTTGAGGACATTTCTCATCTCACCCCCCCCCTCCTCTCTCTCTCTCTCTCTCTCTCTCTCTCTCTCCCTCCCTCTCTCCCACTTTGCTTCCTGTCGGAAATACTGTGCTATCCACTTAATAAAGGCCAAAAATAAATCTTTTTTCCAAAAAAATATACATAAGACTATTTTCTATTCATATATTAGCTAAATATTTTGCAGTGTTTTCATGTCCTCTTCTGCAAAAAATTAAATTTAGTACATTTATAAAATTAAAATAAAATACATTTAGATTAATAGATTTCTTCATTGAAGAAATTATTAAAAATTATTAAAAATAAAAAAGAAATTCGTTAAAAATCTGGTCTCATCTCATTCTCGTGAACCCAAACTCATGTCTCGTCTAATCTTGTCTCTCGTCTAATTAAGCTATAAATATACTAATATAATTCATTAGTCAATTCAGTTTTTAATATCTTAAATTCAGATGCTAAATACAAATTAATAGGGGTGTCAAAATTAATCGTTTCTTCGGTGCACCGCGATGCAGACACGGACAATTCAATATCGGTTCAGTAATAATCATAACCGGTTATTACTGACGTCATTTACCTCATATGCACTCTGTCGCGAAGAGGCGATCGCGAGTATTTACAGCACTTTAACTACTTAAAACTCATAAACTGTGCACAATTTCACTGTGTGTGTTTGCTGGATCAGTCTTTCACTGACATATACAACAATAGCCCCTATTTCACTGAGATCGAGAGAATGAAAGTAGCCTACTCCATTTCTCTCTCTCTTTCTCTCGCTCTCAGTCTCACACACACACATATATACACACACACACACACACAGTGGCCCATTTGACCTGCTGGCGTGGCTTTACTTCTCCTCTCGGCTGTTTTACAGCGTTACTTCTGGATAAAGAAACGAGCGCGTGTCTGCAGAGTTTTCTCCATCGTGTCTATCATACATGAGCTGTGAGATCGCCGCTGCCGCCTGCCGCTTCTCACTCATCTGTGAAGAGCGCAGCGGGCAAGAGCCAATCGCAACGGTTTTTTTTTTGAGGGTGTGACCAATCAAAGAGGTGTAAGAGAACTAGACAAGGATCAGAAATTGAGCTGGATGTTTATATTTGTTTATATTATTTGCTAAATGCTTGTTTTGTTTAAAGTTACAGTTTATAAATCTGACTGTTTGTATTAAACGACAAAATTGTATTACAAATAGTATATAAATATAAATATATTCATACATTTAATACAAGAAATGCTGCTGTGAAGAAAATATAAAACTGTGTATGGAAAGCATCGTCAATGCACCGAGATATCGAATTGAACCGAATCGATGGCATGATAATCGTAACCGAACCGAACCGTGAGACTAGTGTAGGTTTACACCTCTACAAATTAAAGTTTATGCTTTCAGCCAGAAATGGGTTGCATGAGTTTTAATTTTTCTTTTGCTTCAGTGGAAACTCTGCGGCAGCTGATCTTCCGAGACCTGGAGGATGGGTGGAGTCAAGATTCAGATGACACGCCCACTAACGAAACAGCCAATGAGAGGAGTCCGTTCACAGACAGACCGGGAAATGAGTCATCTGATCCTGCCCCCAGCGAAAGTTCTAGCCAATGGGAGGAGGAGCCTGTGGAAGCTCCGCCTCTGGAGGTGCTGCAGCCTGCTGTTCAGGTGGTGAGGAAAGGTAAACGCTGAACAATACCAGATCAGATCTATAACATATGATAATCAGCAGCGTCATCGTCATCACTGAAACAGAGTAGAGTTATTCATATTATAGATGCGGGGAACGTCAGGTGCAAACTAAAGAATTATACGCACAGCAAACGTTAGTCAGCGCTTTAAATGTCCAGTGAAGATAAAATAACGTTTATTAGTATAAACATGTTAGTCTTAGAGCATATCTATAAGCTAGCGCAGTACAAAACAGTGGCAAAATGCATGCTTTAAAACTGATATAAACATGTAAAGCTGGTAGTTTGTCACTTCCGCCAGCCTCATTCACACTACGAGCGACTTGCAGCAGGCAAGTGACCATTCATATCAACAGAGAGTGAGCGACTTCCGTCGTTTGACAGCAACTTTTGGCGAACAGGTCGAGTGTTGTGACAATGTTGAGAATCCTTCAACTTTATGCAAATGAAGAGTGAATTTCTTGATCGACAGCCAATAGGACCACCTGTAGAGGTCACGTTATCCTAAGCTTGGTCAGAGACCTGTTGTATTCTCCATGCTGTATACCACCTACACACAGACCTGCGTTTGCAGAAGGTCGCCACTCAGAGAGTCAGGCAGCTACAAAGCCGCTGCTAGTGTGAATGAGGCATAAATGGATCTATGTTTGCTTTTTTCACGTCACCTCATTCGTCAGTTTCTCATCAAATCTTGGCCAATCAAATGCTCTATAGTGTCTGACATGCCCCGCCCCTTTTAAGATGCTTGTTTGTTTTTATTCGATGCGCTTGAGCTCAACCACTCTCACTGGCAGAGCTGTGATCAAAATCAAACTGCTATTGGCTGCTTTTTAAAAGGGGAGGAGCTACTCTGCCCCACCCTCTCATGAAGTCTAGTTAAAGTTATAAAAGTATAATAACAGACGTTTATTAGTTATGAACTTCGTTTAATAAAGCAATTACACCCTGTTAATGTCTTATTAGCCACAACATCAGCTAAGAGTTAGCATTCTTCTTCTGTAAGCGGCTTTGCATAAAAGCGTCTGCTGAATGAGTTAGTAAATGATGATGATGATGATGATGATGATGATGCTGTTCTTCAGCTGCTGTTGCTCTAACTGTGTTTCTGAAGTGTGTGTGTGTGTGTGTTTTCTCTGTTTCTCTCTGTGTTTCTGCATGTGCTCAGAGCTCACTGTGATCAAGCTGATATGATTTAACACACTCTCATCTCTCTCTCTCTCTCTCTCTCTCTAACATACACTATATCTCTTTTCTCTCTCACACACTCACACTCTCACATGCATTCTCTCTCTCTCTCTCTTTTTCTCACACACACACACACACACACTTCTGCTTTTGTGGCTTCTTGTACGTGTCTGTTTGTAATTACACACCATATATAAATGCACCTCACACCATTTCCCGCGCACACACATAACACACACAAACACATACATCATCCTCATCCTGTCTCTTACACACACACACACACACACACACACACACACACACACACACACTGACACACATGCACGTCTTTCACCTGTCTTTCACTTTCTCTCTGCCTCTTACACACACACACACACACATTTATCTTCAACCTGTCTAACACACACACACTCTCTCTCTCTCTCTCTTTATCACACACTCTCTTTCTATCACACACACATCACCTTCTACATCTTTCATGTGTCTTTCTCTCTCTCACGCACACACACACACACACATTTATCTTCAACCTGTCTAACACACACACTCTCTCTATCACACACACATCACCTTCTACATCTTTCATGTGTCTTTCTCTCTCTCACACACACACACATGTCGTCTTCTTCCTCCTGTCCTTCACACACAGCTGTGGGTGTGGGCTGTTCTCTTCCTGATGACATCACCGATGATGTCACCGCCAGCCAATCGTCTGAGGACGGAGGTGGGGCTTCATTTATTTCTCAGCGCTCCTGACAGATGCATTCTGGGACGCTTTCCTGAACGCAGTGGAGTGGACGCTCAGTCTGTTTCTCTCCTGCCGTTTGGGGAAGCGCTCCTCAATCATCTGGACAGAGTTCATGTCTCTCTCTCTCTCTCTGGTGTTCTGCTCTCGGGCTTTCAGTTTCCTGTGGAGAAATGTGCTGGACAATCTTTGTCAACTCAGAATCTTAAATACATTTTAATATATTTATATTAGGGCTGGGCGATATTGCTAAATAAATGATCACGACATCATGTTTCATAACATTCGATGTCTGGAATTATTGAATATTTTTATTAATGCATTTAGGAATATTAGGATTTTTTATTTAACCACTTCATTTTAGTTTACCAACATTACAAAGGTGAATAGTTTTAATAGTCAAAAACTAAAATATTAAAACAATGTCTGATCTCCTTATGATAAAATACACATGAGTGTTACAGAGACTCTTAAACTTGATCAATAAAATGTTTCAAAGTGTGTGCAGCTAAAGGCGTACTCACACTATGCTTCCCGAACCGTGACCAGACATGTTTTCCGGATCGTTTGAGAAGTGTGAGTGCGCTGAATCGGGCTCAGGCACGGTTCACTTGGGCAAAGAGCTTAGAATGACCAAGAGGCGACACTCAATAGAACATTCCATTGCAACAGCAGCGCCCAGCAACAGCCCCGTATTCCGCCAGTTGGAGTGAAAGTGATCGGCCGTCCATTGGATCTTATTAATTTCGCGATGGCAAGCAGCTGCTTTGTTTTTTATTTATCTATTTAAAACGCTTATTAAAGCTGAGATACAACCTGAAAGGTGACAATACAACACTTACTATCACAATCATCAGCACTTTTAATTGTTTATTTTACAGACTTATAATATGCTGTTGTTCTATTGGAGTTTTCATTCCAAAATGGCCGCCGCGCCCTCTAGTGGCTGTTTCCCAAATTACACTAGAGTGTCGCCTCTTGGTCATTCTAAGCTCTTTGACTTGGGCTTTGGCGCGGTACACTTGTGTGTGAGTGCAAAGTGCACCTGAACCCGAAACTAAAAGCGAGACGTGACTTTAGGGAGCTGTTTCATATGGATTTCTTAGTCAATCTTACTGTTCAGTGAACGCAAACTGCCGTAGTTTATTAAATACGCAAACCCTTCACTGCACGACAGCTGCATCTTCAGCAAACCTCCTCATTCAAATTCCTTCTCACTCAAATATTTGAGTGCTGTTTTGTTGCATTTTGTTTGGAAATGAAAATCGGAGAATCGTCAGGCCGATGTCAAGGTTCAACACCCAACTTAAAATCAACCAAAAACAGCTAATGATTTTACAGCTTGACGTTGTGTGGACGTTACCACTTTTGACATTTATCAGATGTTGGATTTTGGTTGCCATACCTGATGAATAAATGTTAGTATTTCACGTCAGCTGGTTTAAGATGTTGGCTCGACGTTGGATTTTGGTCACTTTCCAACACAACCTAAAATCAACCAAATATCATTTATTCATTCATTTATTTTCTTGTCGGCTTGGTCCCTTTATTAATCTGGGGTCGCCACAGCGGGATGAACCACCAACTTATCCAGCAAGTTTTTACGCAGCGGATGCCCTTCCAGCCGCAACCCATCTCTGGGAAACATCCACACACATTCACACACACTCATACACTACGGACAATTTAGCCTACCCAATTCACCTGTACCGCATGTCTTTGGACTGTGGGGGAAACCGGAGCTCCCGGAGGAAACCCACAGGAAGGCAGGGAGAACATGCAAACTCCACACAGAAACGCCAACTGAGCTGAGGTTCGACCCAGCGACCTTCTTGCTGTGAGGCGACAGCACTACCTACTGCGCCACTGCCTCGCCTCAACCAAATATCAACGTCATTTAACGTAGTTATTGGGCATCAAAAAATCGTTGTCCTCGGACACTGGCTAGATGTAGAATTTTGGTCACCTGACATCACGACCTAAATCGAACCTAATATTAACGTCTTATGACGTTGTGTGTCTGCTGAGTAGTAATTAATGCACTACAGAATGTTACGTTTACACACATCCACAAGTTACATGTAAACACATCAGCTTTTTACAGCGTAATACTCACTACTCACTACTCTTCAGTACTTTTTTGAGTAACAAACACAACAGATACAACAGATACTTTCACTCTACTTGCACTACATTTAAACAGAAGTGATGGTACTTTTACTGGAGTATGATTGTTCAGTTCTCTTTCCACCACTGGTTATTATTGAAATGTGTATATTCCATACAAGGTGTGAAGCAGATTGGTTAGTTCTACTTATATGTTTTTAATATAATATTGCTGGGTTTTTTTTATTTTATTTAAATGAACATATTAAATTGATGTTGCTCTGGTGCTTATTTTTCTTCTTAAACTTTCCACCATATTAGACAAAGCGTAATTATTATTATTGTAAATCTAATTATGACATCTTATGTAAATTAGTGCTGCTTGTAAGGAAACATTATAAATTCTAATAAGATGTAAATTATCCTGATATATTACTTAAATTTTTTTTTTTCATAAAAATTTGTAGAAAATAGTGCTTAAACTTTTATTCTTAAACTTTTCACCATCTTAAAGAGGAAGCGTAATTATCCTTTGGTCACACTTTACAATAAGGTTCAATAGTTAATGTTAATTAATGCATTTACTAACATGAACAAACAATGAACAATACATTTACTACTGTATTTGTTCATGTTAGCTAACGTTACTTAATGAAAATACAGTTGTTCATTGTTAGTTCATGTTAACTCACGGTGCATTAACTAATGTAAACAAGCATGGACTCGGATGTTAATAATGCATTAGTAAATGTTCAATTATGATTAATAAATGCTGTACATGTGTAAGTGCACTAACTAATGAACCTTATTGTAAAGTGTTACCTATCCTTTTAAAATATAATTATGCAATTTACTATAAACGAGCATAAATGAACATGCTGTTGTGTTTGTAGGAAACCTGTTCTATCTGGTGATGTCGACGGATCAGGGTGTTTCAGACGAGAGCACCACAGACGAGCTCAAAGATCTTCATCACTCTGTGTTTTCGTCATCTTTTATCAATGAGGAGGAGGAGCAGGACACGCCCTGTCTATCGCCAACTGACCAATCACTGATCGAGAGCCAGGGTCACAGACCAGGCCTCAGCCAATCACAGAGCAGCGTCCAGCGTCATGTGATCAAAAATGTGGATGAGATCTTCAACACTATGGAGGAGCTGATGAAGAAACTGCAGCACCTGAGGGTAAAACACACACACACACACACACACACACACACACACACACACACACAGGCCTGTCAGGACTTGAGCATATTGTCTTGTTGACTTCAAAACAAAAGGAGGAAATACTGAATTACAGTCTGCATTAAGAAGCTGAAGCTGTTTTACACTCGATTCGGCGCCTCTCTGGGCTCAGAAATGTATGTGTTGTGTATGTGTTTATCTGTATGCTTGCAAAAGTTATTTAATAATATATCAATTATTATAATGATTATTTAATGAGTGTTTAAATTAGTTATAAATTTATACAAAATAAATTTGTCATAGCAATATTTTGAACACATTTTATAAAACATTTTAAAACTATTTTGCATTTGTAGTAATTTTTGGCTGTTTTATACCAAAATAATTGCAAGAAATTTATCAAAAAGGTTTATTTAATTTCATTAAACGAAATGAAATTAAACACAGCAAGAAGGACGCTGGTTCGAGCCACGGCTGACTCAGTTGGCATTTCTGTGTGGAGTTTGCATGTTCTCCCCGTGTACGTGTGGGTTTCGTCCGGGTGCTCCGGTTTCCCCCTCAAGCCTGGTTTATACTTTAGCCTCAAGTGACCGGTGTAACCCACGGCGCATGCAAACGTGCGTAGCTGTGCATTTATACTTCTGCGCGCTGTCTCTGTTGGTCTGCATTAACACTTCCGAAACGCTAGTTGGCAGTGAGGTGTAAATGTTCCTCTGTGTCGAGTTTCTTCGCTGGTATTTTGCTTGTCTTAAACACTTCCGGGATGTACAAGTTGCTCAAACTCGCTCGTTTTGAGGCAGGAACCTCATAGTTAAAGTTAACTTTAACTATGATGTAAACACAAAACAAAACTTTCCATCCGGAGCTCCTTCACGGGACTCTACATACTTCAACACACTTGTAAACAATTGCTACATTGGGTTCGCGCCATTCGCACGGGGTCCGCCCAGACTCGTCAGGGCTACCAAGCCAACCAATCACAGAGCTTGCGCTACGCGTCGTTGCGCGTAGCCGATCACGATTGATCCAGTTTTTGTACGAATCATAACTTGCACTTCGTAACATACATGACCTGTGGGTTAATAATTTTTTTACTTGTATATTTATCATGCATTTATAACGAGAGATCGCCTCTCGTGCAATCAAATCACATGTATGAAAGCATTTAGGCTTTCCTGTTGAATATAATGATGAAGAAAGAAGTTGTGGTGGGTTATTCAGGATGTGGGGGGTTTCTCAGGTTATTAAAGGTGTTTTCTTTCACTACTTGTTTAGCCTGCATTAATGCATTCAGTGTAAGCTGCACGATTCATCATTAAAAAAAGATCAGGATCTCAACACCCACGCAACATCAATTATAAATGATGGGGATTTACATATGTTTATTATTCCTTTGAATCTGTGCATTCAAATCTGTGTTTGAATAACGCAAAAATCAAGAAAGAGATTCAGTCTTTAGTCTTTTGAGTGAGTAATGAAGTTACAAACAGCCAAATAACACAGCAGTACTGGGAGAATAGCATAGTTTAGATCAGAGGTTATCAAAGTGGGGGTCGGGACCCCCCGAGGGGTCGCGGGACAATGAAGGAGGGTCGCCTGGTGATTTTCAAAAATCAATTAAATTTTACTAAACCTTAAGACTTACTGTATTTTATCAATAACCTACTGAAGAGAAAAAAAATTGTCGTTTATAGTTACTATAAACTATATAGTTACTATAGTAGCTTATAGTTAATAGTTCTATTGGATTGCAACTTAATTACATTATAATTAATTAATGTAATGTATAATTAAGTAATTACATTATACTAAAGACACAGCAATACTGTCAGATGCAGCAGATTGATTTTGTAACATCAGGTTAAACTTTCTAGCCCATTTACAGCTCTGACATGCATAAAAAAAACAAAGAAAAGACTTAGGTCTATTGGTGTGTGTGTGTGCATCATTGCATACAAGGTTTCTGTATTTATAACCACCAACTCAGAGAATATTGGGGGTCCCGAGTCACTGGCATTGTCTTTTTGGGGGTCACGGGCTGAAAAGTTTGGGAACCCCTGGTTTAGATCAAACCACTGATGTTTAATGTAATAATAATCAAAGATATGCCACTTAATAATTCTTCATAAATGATCATCTAGCAAGGAAACATGAAGTTTAATGAGTGAATAACTGAGTCATTTATTGAAAATGAGACTAAAATAAATATGGGTTGTACAAATGATAATGATTGATTTCTACATTCAGCGTTATCAGCAACAGTAGTAGAAATAGTGAATTTTTGACAGAACTGAATATTTTAGTTTATTTTGCTGATTATTTCTTCATTTATTTTCGATAAAATTACATTATTAAAACCTAAACCTAAAGTGTCCTGCCGTGCTGTTTCTGTAATAAATGGAAAGCAAATAACATTTGTCGTCTCCTCTTCTTGGCTGGTGTGAAAAATGGTCTGGTCCGTGACTAAACCATAATGCGATTCGAACCGTGAGATGTGTGATCCGTTACAATTTTACTGTCAGATATTGTGATTTAAAATCTGAATAATTTGTTTTACATTAAGGTAGTTTCATGTATTCAAACTCAATTAACGTTTTTAAAAACTCCTTTGTCTAAAATATGCACATAAAAATCTTAATTTTGACCCGGTCTTAAGTTTATTTATTTATTCTTTTGCAGTTTATACATTTTTTTTTTTTTACTTGTAATTGTAGGCCAACGCAAAATATCAAAATTAGTTCACTATTTTTTTATACAGCTTAATATAGATTAAACTGTTTATTTGATGTGTTTTTGCTTGTTTACATTGTTAAATTATCAAAACAGTGACAGTAAATCTTGGCTGTTCGCTTTTAGAAGTTATACTGATGTGTATCTTCCCCCTTCAATAATATGAAACATGTTGGTTATGAAACTTAAAATATCATATTGTACATACAAACATCACATTATTACGATAGTATGGTACGGAGACCCAGAAGGGACGGGATGGTGGAGAAAAAAAAAATGGGTGGAAGAAAAAAAAACGAGTGATAGGTAAACACTAGGGATGTAGCAATATTGTAAATACCGTCATACCGCAATAGTAATTTTTTTCAATATTACCGTGGGCGCATGACTCAATAAAACTATATTTCTGAGAAAAGTTTGCTTAGGCGAATGAAGCGAACGGGAGGTAGCGGGAACTACAATTCCCATCAGCCTTGGCGTGGCCATCATCCTTTGCGGTCTGATGTCGCTACAGATCCACTAATGCGGAAATGTAGTGGGTTGCTAGTAGCGGGGAAGAAAAAGAGCTGGAAATGATCGAACCTAAAGCGAGTTTTAAATCGGATGTGTGGAAGCATTTCGGTTTCTTTCTAATGCTAATTTGTATGTCATTGATATGTTCAGTGCTAAGGTAAATAAACACTTTTGCCACTTTTTTTGAGTCTTTTCATTAGTTTTGTTTTTCCTGTAAAGTATTCAATAAATACCGTACCGTGCCATTCATACCGAGGTATTATCGTACCGTGAACTTCTGATACCGTTACATCCCTAGTAAACATATTTTTGAACGTTTTTGCATTACCCCTGCAAAACTGTTGTTCAACAATCACTTCACTTCATACATGACAACCCTGTTTTTGCTGGGATTCTCTCATATTTCACCATTATATCCTATTATTCGATCAGCGCCCCTCATACGCAACCTCTGAATCAGTGAATGCATGTATAAGCGCAGACTGACTCCCAGATCCCGCCATTTAAAGAGGAGCTAAAGTGCAGGACAATTTGGGATTCGGTAGTGTTTAAACAGACAAATATACTTAATATGTAAACATGCCCGGATGTCCTGCGTGTTTTATTTCAAACACAACTAATTTCCTCTTGAATGAGCACAAACAGTTAAGGCTCCTACACACCAGGACGCTTTTTGTGTACATTTATCGTCAGCGTTTTACTAGACGTTTTTCCGCATTCAAACCAAAGCGATTTTCACTGGCGTCAAGCAGAAGAGTATGCAGAATCAATCCTTGACGTTAGATGGCGCTACACAACTTTAAGCTTTTGACACCTGCTTGTAACAGAAGAGGAGGAGGAGAGGAGGTTCACAAGCTTGCTGTTAAAGCTACTGGTGACTCGAACAAGCATAGATGAAGTAGCAGCTCCAGCTCTAGCGATGAAATGATTGTTGTTCAGCAGAGCAATAAGCAGCTTCACGTTCATATCGCCTCTGGGCATCTTCTTCAATGTGCGCTCGCATTGACAGTTTGTGCTTGAGCGCCTCCAAGTGCTGTTTACTGTAACTTCAGCAGCTCCGTGCATGTGAACTAAAATGTCAATCTAAATAGAGGAGAAGGTTTTAACGCGGTGCGTCAAATAAAAAAAACTAGCATGAGGAGTTTTTTTTTTTTTTTTAAATGACGCTTTTGCGCCTGGCGTTTTGTGCGTTGGTGTGCACAATCACATTGAAGCCCTTTATATAGTCACGAGGCGTTAAACGTCAACGGGAAAACATGAGCAAAAAATGTCTCTGTGTGCACGGGCCTTTAACTTATGCTTTGGCTATATCAGTGGTAAGTGACACCTCTGTTATCAAACAAAAGAAAACGAGATATTCATTTGCTGCTCCTCACTTGTTTGATAACAGAGGTGTCACTTTAAATGGTGTGTATAGAAGCTGATCTGGGATCAGTTTATCATACGGAGCGTGTCCATCAGTCAGCGTTTAAACATGCATTCACTGATTAAGAGGTTGCATATGAGGGGCGCTGATCGACGCTTAGCTTTAATGGAAAGAAAGTGAATGCAGATATTTTTATATTAATTTTAACATGCTTTCAAGATTAAACATATGAAAGAAACATGAGAAAATGCCTAATAATAGGATATAATGGTAAAATACTGGAGAATCCCGGTAAAAACAGGATGGTTGTCATGTATGAAGTGTTTGTCGAACAACAGTTTTGCGAGTGAACGCAAAACATCTTTGCGAGATAATGAAAAACATCTTTGTGAGAATGCAAAACATCTTTGCGAGGGAAAGCAAAACATCTTTGCGAGGGAAAGCAAAACATCTTTGCGAGATAACGAACAACATCTTTGCAAGATAACGCAAAACATCTTTGCGAGGGAAAGCAAAACATCTTTGCAAGATAACGCAAAACATCTTTGCAAGATAACGCAAAACATCTTTGCAAGATAACGCAAAGCATCTTTGCGAGATAACGCAAAACATCTTTGCGAGGGAAAGCAAAACATCTTTGCGAGGGAACAAAACATCTTTGCGAGATAACACTAAACATCTTTGCGAGATAACGCAAAACATCTTTGCGAGATAACGCAAAACAACTTTGCAAGATAACGAACAACATCTTTGCAAGATAACGCAAAACATCTTTGCGAGGGAAAGCAAAACATCTTTGCAAGATAACGCAAAACATCTTTGCAAGATAACGCAAAACATCTTTGCGAGGGAAAGCAAAACATCTTTGCAAGATAACGCAAAACATCTTTGCGAGATAACGCAAAACAGCTTTGCGAGGGAAAGCCAAACATCTTTGCAAGATAACGCAAAACATCTTTGCGAGGGAAAGCAAAACATCTTTGCAAGATAACGCAAAACATCTTTGCAAAGGAAAGCAAAACATCTTTGCAAGATAACGCAAAACACCTTTGCGAGGGAAAGCAAAACATCTTTGCAAGATAACGCAAAACATCTTTGCGAGAGAACGCAAAACAACTTTGCGAGAGAACGCAAAACATCTTTGCGAGAGAAAGCAAAACATTTTTGCGAGATAACGCTAAACATATTTGCCAGAACGCTAAACATCTTTGCCAGAACGCAAAACATCTTTGCGAGGGAACGCAAAACATCTTTGCGAGGGAACAAAACATCTTTGCGAGGGAACGCAAAACATCTTTGCGAGGGAACAAAACATCTTTGCGAGATAACGCTAAACATCTTTGCCAGAACGCAAAACATCTTTGCAAGATAACGCTAAACATCTTTGCCAGAACGCTAAACATCTTTGCGAGATAACGCTAAACATCTTTGCGAGATAACGCAAAACATCTTTGCGAGGGAACGCAAAACATCTTTGCGAAATAATGAAAAACATCTTTACGAGGGAAAGCAAAACATCTTTGCAAGATAACGCAAAACACCTTTGCGAGGGAAAGCAAAACATCTTTGCGAGATAACGCAAAACACCTTTGCGAGGGAAAGCAAAACATCTTTGCAAGATAACGCAAAACATCTTTGCGAGGGAAAGCAAAACATTTTTGCGAGATAACGCTAAACATCTTTGCCAGAACGCAAAACATCTTTGCGAGGGAACGCAAAACATCTTTGCGAGGGAACAAAACATCTTTGCGAGATAACACTAAACATCTTTGCCAGAACGCAAAACATCTTTGCGGGATAACGCTAAACATCTTTGCGAGATAACGCTAAACATCTTTGCGAGATAACGCTAAACATCTTTGCGAGATAACGCAAAACATCTTTGCGATGGAACACAAAACATCTTTGCGAAATAATGAAAAACATCTTTGCGAAATAATGCAAAACATCCTTGCGAGGGAACGCCAAAACGTTCAAAAATATGTTTACCTATCACTGTTTTTTTTTTCTCCCACCCAATTTTTTTTCTTCTACCCATTTTTTTCTCCACCATCACTTCCCTTCTGGGTCTCAGTACTATCGCATTTAGCTTTTTTCTTCAATATTGCATGCACAGCCATATTTAATTGTAGGTTATGGTATAACTTTTATTGAATAACGGTTTAGTTCTTGGTGCTTATTTATTTGTTGTGCAGGTAACAAATTGTAAATAATGAGGTTTAGTTTTAAAATGTAAAACCTCTCTGTTTTGTTTTTCTTTTTCGCCCATATGATCCTGTAGGACATTGAAGCGGATCACCACAAACTCCTGAAGAAACTACGCAAACCACTTCCTGTTGACAAAATGTCTAGTGATGGGGTCCACAAATCTCCAACAGCGGCGCGACTCTCTTCACTGGACCGCGGAGCAGGAGATGGTGAGGATCTACTACAAACCAAAGTACTGATAATACAATAATTCGTTAAATACAATATAATATTACATCTTTTAATTGTTCGTCCAGGTAAGGAGGGCGTCTCAACGGAACCAGCTCAACCTCAAATCCAGTCCACTGGTTTCTGACGCTTTACATTGGACTTTCGAACAGACTCACGCAAACACTCAATGATGTAGCCCCTTCCCAGCATGCCTTGAGCCTGGAAGCACCATCCAGGTCCAATTGTGTGTTTTGTTTGTGTCTATTCGTAACTTGAGATGGACGGACGACACTTCAGCCTGCACTGAGAAAGAAAGAAGAAAGTGACAGATTACAGTAGCGCATTAAAGAAAGAATGAAATGATGTATAAAAAGAGCGAAATTGTAACGTAATGCGCGAATAACAGGAAGTTGAACGTAAGTGGATAGTGAAACGGCGCGGCTGAAGACATGACTCTGTCCTGCGAAGGAAACCCCCCGCACTTTACCTGCTGTTCGTATGTTTATTTGTTAATTCTCCATTCGAATATAAAAACGGCGACGTTTTCAGTCGTAAGCATTAGATGGACAATGTTGACAGTTTCAGGATCTTTTGCACTGGAAAGACAAACATGGTGGTCAAATAAGGACGTCTCATGAATATTGTTCGTTTATATCGTAGATTGTCTATCATTGTTATCTACCATTCGAATATATAAACGGGAGACGTTGTCACTCGCAAGTCGCATTTAGGTGGACGACAATGACAATTTTGGGATTTTTTGCACTGGGAAACAAGCATGGCGAGCAAATAAGGACGTCTCACGAATATCATTCGTTCATATCGTAGCTTGTCGATCAATCTTTATCCAACATTTGAATATTTAAATAGCCGACATTTTCAGTCATAAGTCACGTTTAGATGGATGACGTTGACACTTGTAGGATTGTTTGCACTGGGAAAGAAACAAAGTGAGCAAATAAGGACGTATGACGGATATCGTTCTTTCATGTCATAGCTTGTCTATCATTGTTTGTGCACCATTTGAATATAAACTGCGACGTTTTTCAGTTGTGAGTTGCATTTAGATGGACGACATTGACGAGTTCAAGATCTTTTGCACTGGGAAACAAACATTACGGGCAAATCAGGACGTCTCACAAATATCGTAGTTTGTCTATCATTGTTTATCCTCTATTCGAATATATAAATGGCGACGATATCACTCATAAGTAGCGTTTAGATGGACGACAATGACAATTTTGGAAACTTTTACACTGGGAAACAAACAATAGTGAGCAAATAAGAACGTCTCACGAATATCGTTCGTTTTGTGTCAGATTGTTTCTTGGTTTATGTTCCATTCGAATATATAAACGGGTGACGTTTATAATAAGTATTAAATGGATGAGGTTGACAATTGCAGGATCTTTGGCACTGGGCAACAAATAAGGACATCTCGAAAATATAGTTCGTCATATCATAGCTTTTATATCATTGTTTATCTTCCATTTGAATATAATAACAGGTGACGTTTTCAGTTTTAAGTCACATTTAGGTGGACGACAATGACAATTTTGGGATCTTTTGCACAGGGAAACAAACATGGTGAGCAAATAAGGACGTCTGACGAATATCGTTCGTCCATATCGTAGCTTGTCTATCATTCTTTATCTACCATTTGAATATATAAACAGCCAACATTTTCAGTCGTAATTCACGTTTAGATGGATGACATTGACAATTTTAGGATTGTTTGCACTGGGAAAGAAACAAGGTGAGCAAATAGAACGATATCCATGATACGTCCTTTTCATGTCGTAGCTTGTCTATCATTGTTTGTCCACCATTTAAATGTATGGACGGCAAAGTTTTTCAGTTGTGAGTTGCGTTTAGATTGACGACATTGACAATTTCAGGATTTATTGCACTGGGAAACAAACATGACGGGCAAAAAAGGACATCTCAGAAATATCGTAGCTTGTCTTTCATTGTTTATCCTCTATTCGAATATATAAACGGTGACAATATCACTCATAGATCACGTATACATGGACGAAAATGGCGATTTTGGGATATTTTGCACTGGGAAACAAACAATGCTGAGCAAATGAGAACTTTTCTCGAATATCGTTCGTTTTGTGTCAGATTGTCTCCCTTACTTTATCTTCCATTCGAATATATATGCGGGCGACATTTATAATCATAAGCATTAAATGGACGAGGTTGACAATTTCTGGATATTTTGCACTGGGAAACAAGCAAGGCAAGAAAATAAAGACGTCTCACGAATATCATTCATTCAGATCGTAGCTTGTCTATCAATGCGTAACACTATGCGAAAATAAGAATTTTTTTTGTGTGTTAATAAATATACAACAAATATTTGTTTTGTTGCTATACACAGTTAAACACTATCGCACATTGAGCACAACTGGACTGTTTATATATATATATATATATATATATATATATATATATATATATATATATATCGTACAGAAAAAGGGGCGTGTCTATGAATTTTGACATCATGTCATGTGACCTGCAAACTGACACATTTGTATTACGTGTAAATACTGTGAACTTTCGTCCCTCACGGTTTGCGCTTTGTAGCTCGACGGGTGCTTGAAACACAAATGAAGGGATAGGGAACTCTAATAATAATAAATCAATCATTTAAATTGAAAAGTAACGTAAACTTTACGTTTAAAGCGCAAAAACAATTTTTGTAAGCGTTTAACTCGATTACCTAACCTGCCACTGGAGGATTGTTACCTCGCCTCCTTTTTTGGTTTATTTTTTTTAGATTTTATTTGTTTTTATTATTTTAACAATCGTTTTTGCGAACTTTGTGCAACCGCAGGACGTTTCTAACGTGGCTTGAATTCGGAGACTGTACGGAGAACTACTGTTAACTCAGGTGGAGAAATGTAGACGCGATTTCTCTCGTTAGCTTTAACTCATTTTATTGTTATTATTTTTCATTTCTCACCTCATTCCTCCATCGTTCATTCGTACTCCTCAACGCCTCCATGAATTGTCACGTTTTCTGCACAGCGAAGAAACCATACTGGTGCGAACTACTGTACGTAAATGTTTTATGTTCTTATTTTTATTGACGTTCACTCATGTAATATAGTTCACCGCCTGTTTTATATGTTCATTTCCTGTAAAGCTCTAGTGGTTTCCTTTTAATTTTATTTTTGTAGATATGGCAAACAGAAAGGATGTGTAAATTATTTTCTCTCCCTCTTTTTAAAATCGGCGAGATTGTTAGCGGCACAGAAGGAAAAATGAAAACTCATGTTTTTAAAAAAAAGCTCATTTGTTTTGTGAAATTAAAAATATGTTTAAACAAGCGTCTTGCGTCGGCGGTGATTTTTGAGCTGTTCAGAGCCTGTCCGGACCCATTTACTTCTCACATTCCTGTAACTTTATCTCTGATAAGGATTTGCAATCGGATCTGGCTTTAAAAACAGATTGAAGCATGGAAATTGATAGCTCAATATTTTAGCCTGCACTAATGGTTTAAGCATACACTACTTGTTTAGCATTTCACAACCGTTTCCTGTAAAGCCGAGTGTAAGAATGAAGGCTTTGTTTGGATATTTTGGAGGGAATCTTTTTTTTTAATAATAACGAAAGGATTTTTAGCCCATTCTCTTCACTGAATGTGGATTGAAACTGTTTTAAAGAAAATAGTTGCACTTTTACTGTGGTAATTGTGGATTTTTATTTGTCAATTGATGGTTTCTGTCACTTTTCTCTCTTGTTTTTTTACCAAGAGACATTCATAATCAATTGTTCCCAACATTGGGTCATTCCTCATCATCATCATTTTCATCTGCTTATCCGGGCCGGGACGCGGGGGCAGCAGTCTTAGGAGAGAACTCCAGACGTCCCTCTTCCTAGACACTTCCTCCAGCACCTCCGGGAGGATCCCGAGGCACTCCTAGGCCAGCAGAGAGACATAGTCCCTCCAGCGTGTCCTGGTTCTTCCCCAAGGCCTCCTCCCGGTGGGACATGCCTGGAACACCTCCCTAGGTAGGCGTTCTGGAGGCATACGTAACAGATGCCCGAGCCACCTCAGCTGATTTCTCTCGATGTGGAGGAGCAGCGACTCTACTCCGAGCTCCTCCCGGGTGTCAGAGCTCCTCACCCTATCCATAAGAGTGCGCTCTGCCACCCTTCGATGGAAACTCATTTCGGCCGCTTGTATCCGAGATCTTGTCCTTTCAGTCATGACCCAAAGCCCATGACCATAGGTGAGAGTAGGAACGTAGATTGACCGGTAAATCGAGAGCTTTGCCTTTCAGCTCCTTCTTCACCACAACGGACCGGTACATCGACCGCATTACTGCTGCACCAATCCGCCTGTCAATCTCACGTTCCATCCTTCCCTCACTCGTGAACAAAACCCCAAGATACTTGAACTCCTCCACCTGGGGTAAGGACTTTCCTCCAACCTGAAGATGGCAGACCACCTTTTTCCTGTGGTGCACAATGGTCTCAGACTTGGAGGTGCTGATTCTCATCCCAGCCGCATCACACGCAGCAGCAAACCGCCCCAGTGCATGCTGAAGGTCCATGTTAGAAGAAGCCAACAGAACAACATCGTCTGCGAATAACAGCCCAAGGCTACGCTTTGAAATTCTTTCCATAAAAAAATTACACAGAATCATGGGTCATTCCTTCTAGAATTGAAATAATGTAAACACTGAAAAATTAATTAATTATGTCCAGACATTTATCCCAGATATGCAAACATAAACATAATTCCAACAATTAGGAAACTTCTAGGATTTAAACATTTAGTTACATGGATGAATAGAAAATAAACAAACAAATTAAAATAAAAACTCTAAATTTAGGTCATTCCCACCATTAAGAATATGAAAAAATTATACATTTATTGCATAAATAAATTAAGATCCCCCAGAATTAAGTCCTTCCTTCTTTTTCTAAATGTTAATAACTTAGTGGATTGAAATAACGTAAACTTAAATAAATAACCAAAAATATTAGATCATTTCTAAGGTTTGCAATAATCTTATTAACGTGATTGAGTTTAATAAATTCAGCAGATTGGGTCATTCATATTATTCATAGACAGTTTAAAATATAAAAAATAATAACCTAATTTTAATAAGTCATTTTTATAATATGATGATGATAACAATAATAAAATAGTGCTCCCACCAGTGCCGATATATAGCCATATCGCACTGCTACACTTTGACGGCATAATTGTGTATCATCATCATCATCATCATCATCCTTAGCGCGACAATCCATTACTGGATCCTGGCTACCACAGTAATTTCCGCCAATGTTCTCTGTCCCGGGCAACTGCCCACCTGCAACTTTATTCTTATATAGCGTCTTTAAAAGTAGCGCCTCAAGGCACTTTACAGACATAAAATGTGCAGCCGTACAAGACACAAATAAAAATAACAAAACACATAAATAAAAATACGTCTAAAAATCAAATCTAATTAAAGCTACCCTAAAGAAGAACGTTATACAGGATGATTTTAAAGATACTCTGGGTTCTGCAATTGTTCCCAGCATCAGGCCATTCCTGCTATCATTTAAACAATGTAGGCACTCAAAAATGTATTCATAATGTCCAGACATTTATCTCAGATATGCAAACATAATTCAAACAATTAGGAAACTTCTAGGATTTCCAGGAATTACACATTTAATTACATGGATGAGTGGAAATGAACCAATTAAAATAAAAAAATTAAAAAATCTAAGTCATTCCCACCATTTTGAATATGAATAAATTATAAATTTATTGCATGAATAAATTAATATGCCCCAGAATTAAGTCCTTCCATCCTTTTCTAAATGTTAATAACTTAATGAACTGAATAACACAAACATAAATAACGAAAAATATTAGATCATTTCTCAGGTTTGCAATATTCTTATTAACGTGATTGAAGGAGTTTCATAAATTAAGCATACTGGGTCAATCAGTTACTATAAAGCAGTGATATTCATCATAAATATATAAAAACTAAATAAAAGCCTCATTTTAAAAGTCATTTTTATAATAATAATAAACTTTATTCTTATATAGTGCATTTGAAAGTAGCACCTCAAGGCACTTTACAGACATAAAATGTGCACAAGACACAAGGGTGAATGAAGAAAAATGTATTAATAAAAAAATATCGAAAACAAATGGTAATACATCCAAAAATCAAATCTAATTAAAGCTACTCTAAAGATGTATGTTTTAGGAGATTATTTAAAATACTCGGGGGTTCTGCATTGCGACTGTTAGAAGGTAAAGAGCTCCACAATTTTGGTGCCAATGAAGAGAATGGCCAGTTTCTTATAGATTTTAGCCACATTGACTGAGCGTCTAGCAGCGTACGGGATTAAATATTGTATAATGTCCAAAAGCCGTTTTATAACGCCCAAAACAATTCAAAGATCAATGAATGAATGAATGAGTATTAAAAATTACGTCATTCACAGTATTGTCAATGATTTAATCTTTCTTGATTCCATTTATAAATGTGTCCCAATATTTGGTCAAACTTTTAGCATTTCAATAATCTCAGTTTAATGGAATGAATGAGTGAATTTATAGTGAGCACATGAGTTTATTATAATAAATGAATTTAATGGAATGAATAGATTCAACGGGATCAATAAATGTGTTTAATTGGAAAGATAAATCAATCTAGATGAGTGAATGTGTGAATTTAGCAGAATGTTATGAATGAATGGATTTTAATGCTAGGAACAAGTGAATAGATGGAATAAAGTAATTGAATAAAATGATACATTTAATATAATATATGAATTAATGAATTCAATTGAATGAAGTGATTTAATAAATTTAAGAGTTTAACAGAGTTAATGAATGAATGAATTTTAAGGAATGGGTGCATTTAAAGGAATAAACAAGTAAAATTAATTGAATGGACGAAGTTAAAAACTTAAATGCACCAAAATGAATGAATGAGGCTAGACAGACAGACAGACATGTTCCAAAATTAAGACATTAATGAATGTATTAAACAGATGGGCATAAAAAAGTTTTTTCCAAAATGAATTAATGAATTTAAACAGACATGTTGCAAAATTAATGAATGAATTTAAACAGATGGGCATACAGAAATGTTTCGAAATGAATGAATGAATGAATTCAAACAGATGGGCATGAATAAATGTTTTAGAATGAATGAATGAATGAATGAATGAATGAATGAATTCAAACAGATGGGCATGAATAAATGTTTTAGAATGAATGAATGAATGAATGAATTCAAACAGATGGGCATGAAGAAATGTTCCAGAATGAATGAATGAATGAATTAATTAATTCAAAAAGATGGGAATGAAGAAATGTTCCTGAATGAATGAATGAATGAATGAATTCAAACAGATGGGCATGGAGAAATGTTCCAAAATGAATCAATGAATGCATTCAAACAGATGGGCATGAAGAAATGTTCCAAAATGAATTAATGAGTTTCAACAAATGGTTATGAAGAGATTTCCAAAATGAATGAATGAATGAATGTAAACAGATTGGCATGAACAAATGTTCCAAAATTAATGAATTAATTTAAACAGATTGGCATGAAGAAATGTTGCAGAATGAATGAATGAATTTAAACAGACAAGCATACAGACATGTTCCAAAATGAATGAATTTAAACGGACAGACATACAGACAAGTTCCTAAAATAATTAATGCATGAATTTAAACAGACAGGCATGAAAAGTTCCAAAATGAAGGAATGAATTCAAACAGACACATTCCAAAATGAATGAATAAATGAATGTAAACAAATTGGCATGCAGACATATTGCAAAATGAATGAATGAATGAATGAATGAATTTAAACAAACAGGCATGCAGTCATGTTCCAGAATGAATGAATGAATTTAAACAGACAGACAGGTGTACAGACATGTTGTAAAATGAATGGATGAATTAAAACAGACAAGCATGTTTCTAAATTAATTAATTTAAACAGACATTGTGCAAAATGAATGAATGAAGTTAAACAGACAGGGACACAGATGTAAAATGAATTGTTCAACAGCCATGGTGCTGAATGAATGAGTGAATTTAAACAGACACTCAGGCATACAGACATGTTTCAAAATCAGTTAAGAGAGACATGCTGAATGAATGAATGAATGAATGAATGAATGAATGAATGAATGAATGAATTGATTATTTTAAACAGACAAGCATGAAGAAATTTTCCAAAATAAATCTAAACAGTCATGCTCCCAAAATGAATGAGTGAATTCAGACAGTCGTGTTCCAGATGGGATAGTTCCTGCATTTCTCCGGTTTGGAGTTAATGCGAGTGTGTGTGTGTGTGTGTGTGTGTGTGCGTTTCTCTCGTGAGGAGGAGCAGGAACGTGGGGGAGGATCGGCTCAGTTCAGCTCCGGTCTCCGGCCATTCGGGGCGTGGAGCAGCTCAGGTTTGAACGGAGACGGAAATGTGTGAGTTTCTGTGAAGGAAAATAAAAAAAGAAAGGAGAAACAGACCGACGGACGCGAAGTGGAGCCCGCAGGCCAGACACCAGCCCACATCCATTCACCAGCACAGGAGGATTTTACCCGTCCGAAAAAAGTGAGTTTAATGCAGTAAAGGCGGATTTGTGGCTCGTATCGTGTGGATTATTGTTCTGGTCGGAGGAGGCGAGTGAAAGTGCATTCATCTCCACTGCGGATGCGGAGATTATCTGCTATACCTCCATTTGAAAACATTATCTCTTTAGTAGTAATAATAATAATAATAATCTCGTGTGGAGAGTCTGTTTCTGCCAGGACAGTCAGCCTGGAGTTGTGGGATAGCTTTAAAGTAAAGTGAATTTGCATGTAAAAGCTCGAGAAATGAGGCTGGAGATCCGCTTTCATTGTTCGGTGTAAAGTGAGCTGGACGCAGGTCTCTTTCACAGCTTCTTCTGCTTCTTTCGGACTCTTCTTTGTGTTCAGATCCACTAAACAGCCGTCTGGACAAAGAGGTACGGATGGTTATTAGACTTTGTGTGCTTTTTTGGAGTGGTTTTGTAAGCAGAATTATTAGTTTAAAATCAAGCAGACTTGTTTTATTTGTTTCCGTCTTGCTTTAGTGATCTTTAGTTTGTGTGTGATTCAGTTTAGTGAGTCGGTTCGTTTCATTGATCGCTACCTTTTGAATCGTCGTTTGAAATTCCTCATTGCAGCGTTATGTTTACATTTTGTTTTATTTAAGTTTACGTATTGTTAGTAATTATGTACTTTCATGTGTTTTAATGCTGCCGTTTTGCAGTCTTACGAATGTTGAGTGAGTCGGTTGTTCTGAATGGTTGAAAGGATTCGGTTCAATAAAACGATTCGTTAGATACTCGGGCATCGTTAGTGCTACTTGTTCACTGGATGCAGGTATTTGATGATGATTGATAGAAAATTCCTGTAATTTAAAACATGTTGAATATTTCTACAACACACAAATGCAGCTTTTTTACTGCCTTTTATTTAAGTGTTTTACAAAACTGAAGTTTACACTTTTTGCAACTAAGTTTGGTAATTTACCTCATAACTACGTAATTTTAAAACGAGCCTGTACTTTTTTTAATTGCATGCACGTTATAAAAGTGATGTAAGTTATATTTGCATTCTATTCTCTAAATCGGAATAAACCCTCAATAGGAAATGCTCGCTATGGTTTATTTTATTTCGCTTTTAGTTATAAAAACCTTTTACTCGCATGAAAAATGTAGCCAAAACACGAACTGTAATAACACTCGTGGTATTAATATTATTAGTTTGCGTTTTGTTTATCTTTTCTGTATCGCGTCGAGTGCATTTGGAGGAAGGCCTTGAAGCCTCGAACTCTCGTAGTTTCGCTTAGCTGAGTTTATACGCGTCTCCCACGGCGGTGGTTGGCTCCGCCAGTCCGAGGCTTTGAGGCCCGCGCGTTGTGATGAGCTCAGATGTCCTCAGCGCCGTCTCCTAGGAGACTGTAACCCGAGCACAGCATTGAAACACTCAATGGACGCTCATTTATAAAATATTTGGTCTGTTACAGTAGACTTCTCATTCTTCATAAGCGAAGCTGCAGTGCAGTGGACAGTCCGGGGCTTCATTAGAGGCTGTAATGACACTTGAGCTCGAGTGTTTGTTCAACTGTGTTTTTGTTTAAATAGGTCAGATGAGACCTGGAATAATGGGTAACTGTATATGAGGCAGAATACACACCTGGGACCGGTGTGTGTGTGTTAGTTCATAAATCACAGCTGCCACACCTAACCTTCACACACACACACACACACATGACTGCAGCTGCTGAACACACCCGCACTGAATACTGATCAACTTCTGCTCCAGCTTTACTGTAAAACTATGGCGCAAAGTCTGGTCATGCGCTCCTGGATTTACAGTCTGGATTTATGTCCTGTTGACGTCTTGTAGGATGTGGACGCTTATTTTTAGCATCATGCACATCCTTAGATTGAGTTTTGCCTGTACTGTCAGTTATTGTGATGCCGTGAAAGTATTTATCCATATTAGACAGTGTTTTACATTAAAGGCATTGTCACATTAGCAATATTACAGCAACAAAAATCCTATTTTCAGTAGCGTTATGTGTATATGAAGCAGATCACAGGTGACTAGATTTTTTTGGTCGGTGACTATTTCATCAGAAAATTTAGCTGAAAGTTGATTTAAGATGAATTTCTTAAGATTAAAACTGTATTTGAATGTCTAATTGAGGAATCTTAACGACTGACTCTGCTTTATCATGTCATCTACGATTCCTTCTGTACTTGTAGGAAGCCGCCGCCACCCAATAATTATACCAACAAAAAAAGAAAAAAGTCACATGATTGCATGTTGCGCTGGGTGAAGAGTGCAATATTGAGTTATCTGAATAGTTTTGTGTACGGCTGACAACGTTAAACATGCTCTACATCTACACAGATCTGTAAAACATCCTAAAAATAGTCATTTTCTGCACACCAGTCCTGTATTGGTGCATATGAAGCCATAGATATATACACTAGATATCGCATAGGGACCCTGAGCATGCGTCAATAGCGCCGCCACATTGGTACAGGGCTCCCAGGACAAATGTCATTCAACCGCACTAGTCAAGACAGTGTTATTACGTGAAGATGCGGGACTTTAGCGCTGTCTGAGGGTGTAGTAACGAGCAATCAAAGAAAACAAAGCACAGAGGCAGAACATTTCATAGGTGAGCAGGGTTCAACGCTAAGGACTTTTCTACAGGGCCGATTGGGCCAGTGGTTGAGGTTTTTACTTGCCCTGGCAAAATTTTCACTGGCCCCACCAAAAAAAAAAAAAGGTTAATAGCTATTTCTTAGCCACATATGTTAAATATTGTGGCAAAATACTAGCCCCTTTCACACAGTGATACCAGTAAATTTCTGGAAAATTTCCGGAAAATTTCCGGAACGACTTTACCGGTATATTCAAAAAAGCGCTGTTCACACAGGCGAGGACGTTACGGAAATTTTCCGGAAAAGAGCATTCACACATCCATTCCAAAATACCGGTAAATTCTGACATCATTCACCACAAATGAGCTTTAAACGGCTGCGCTTGTGTTTGTAAACATTTGACTAAATTACAAACTCTGTGGATGATCAATATTGTGAACAACTTTCGCAGGATCACTTTCGCATGTCAAGATGTTCATAATATGTGCGTGTGCAGGCGCTCATAGGCGCACGCAAAGCTTGAAGGTAAACAAACAACGGCTCATCATAAGCATCTCATCTATGATTATTTACACAGTTGGCATTAAGAAGAACATATAAACGTGATCTGACTAACTTCTAGCAGCTAAATGTGTCTGGAAAAATATTCAAAGGCTTTTATTCTCACAAACCGCGCGGACGTAAATGCCTCTGACTGTTGTGATTGGCTAAAGCAGACGTCTCACGTCAGCACGTTCTAGACGTGCATGCGCTTATTACGGGAATCTTCCTTCTGCATTCACACAGCGCAGCATTCCGGCAAATTACCTGTAATGTTACAACTTCAATCTCCGGAAAATAGCCAGAACGAATTTACCGGTATTTTCAAAAAGAACCTGTTCACACATACTCTGTCTGTATGTGTGAAAGGGGCTAATGTCTATGAATGTTTATGATATCTAGAATTTAAACATTTAAAAAATGTTAATAAATGTTCGGTATGAAAGATGTGCTGGTATTTTATTGCAATTCTAAATAATTTTTATAAAAATGGCTTGCCAAACCGACAACTTTTTTTTTTTTTTCAGTTTCTTATTTTTGTACCCATGTAATTGTCTGCTTCCAAGACTTTAGAAACTGACGTTTTCTTTTAGCCTCATAGTTAGATGTTGCCATCTTTCGCTGTACTTATCGTTATCATGTTATGAAAAAAATAGCATGCTCACCGCTACTGGCCGAAAGGGGCCAGTAACAATCCTGTCTGCTGTCCCGAGCGTCTTTCACGCTGGCCCCGGGCCACCGGGCAGTCCTTATTGTTGAGGCCTGGTAAGATTACGTTTTTTTCTGTTTTTGTATGTTCTCAACTTTTGTGCTAATCAGGTAACGTTATTGATGATAACACTTTACTTACTGCATTCACCATACGGCAAAGCAGCTCCAACTCGCACTAAACACTCGGCTTATGCTAGTTTTGTTGAATAAAATCAGCAAACAATGCAAAAGAAATATGACAACGAGATGCTGCGCTGCCAGAAACTTGTATTATTGTCGGCTAACGTTAGTGAAAGAGTCGTTCGGGGGATTCATTCACAAACGAATCGCTCCCTCCGTCAGTATGAGAAGTGAAAGCAGGAGAGGAGCTGTGTTTCAGGACATGATTAGATCAAATTTAACAGGGAGGGTGGATAGTACATCTCTATACACACAAACACAAGCTTTTTGTCAGGAATGCCCGTGCGGTCACTGATCCATCAATGTAGAAAAATGATGTAAAATTATAGTTTTTGTAATTAGAAAAAAAAAATTACATACTAACATCCAGGAAAACTCCCGATCATAGATATATGTGTATATCTCTGGCTTTGGATGGCCACAGTCCTCCACTGTACCTTGGTCCCGCATTCATTTCAAAGGAGCGCTACCCTGTAGCAAGATGGCGGCGCTATTGACGCATTCCGTCCAATAGACAACAATAGGCCAGGCGACATCTAGTGTATATATCTATGATAAGAAGCTCTATGCACCTGCACACACGCACTCTTTATACTGCAGGGCTGCTGAATGCTCGACTCTGATTGGCCGATCAGATCTATTTATTCAGATAAACGCATAGTTAAAACTGTTCCAGCAGGTTAAGAGCGCATTAGTCACAATTTGAGTTATTTCACAGCTACAACAGCCAAAAATCACATCCAAACACAACAGAAGTCTATGAATGAGATGTGTGAGGAAGTAGTCCCACACACAACAGCTGATTGAGGACAAAAACCTGACAAATGCCTCAAGAACGGTGGCTTTAGCTGTCGGATCTGTAGCATAAGCAGAATAGTTGACTCCAGCTTGTTGAGTTGTCAGACGAATATGCAATAAATCACATCACCACCTCGGGTGTGTGTTGTTTTTCATTAATTCAACAGCTTATCTTCGA